AGCTCCCTAACCATATTAATACATTTGAATGAATATTTTGACAGAAACTGGACGCTGAGAACATAGAAGACATTATTTATATAAAATTATATTCGAATTAATCTCAGTGATTGAAATTTAAATAATTACCCTGAATAAGTCCAGACACGTATGTTCGACGAAACGTTAGAATTACTTAAATTTCAATCACTGAGATTAGTTCGAACATAATTTTACACAATTAATGTCACGTATTAATATATGTTGAATAAAGGGTTAATAAATAACAAGTCTTGTATAAGTACCAAAGCAAAGCTGACCTAAGCATTTATGCATCAAAATTTCTGGGTATAGCAAGATGATCTTTGATTTAATGTGAATATGATAATTAGCATCTCAACAACTTATAAATAAATTAATCATACTTATTTTACACTTACAAAACGGATCTACATATAGTCAAAGCCTTACATGTGTTTACATAATATAAACTTCAAATAAATCATTTACATTGTATATAACAAGTGATTTCTTCTTTCCTTAAATTGAGTCACTGAGTTTAAGGTATCAATATTCTGAAGTACACTAAAGTTTGAACATAATAGTGGAGACTTCCAACTAATTCTTGATGAACAGAACAATGATCAACATATTTTCTTATAAAGATGATGGCTGAAACAAACGCTGATATTCATTTACTGAATAATCAGCATTGTATATTAAAGATAGATAAATAAGTCACTCAGATTGTTCTTGAATTATTATCTCATGATACAGAGAAATACTTATATAATGTTGAGAGTGACTTGAGTTAGAAACTCCAACTCATGAAATTTAAAAGTAATAGTTCATTTGCTTGAGGAATGTGTTGAAAATTGTCCATTCGTATTATCATTATAATCCAAACAAATTTCTGTTCAAGATATAACCCCCATCTGTAAATTTTAACTTTGAATCGTTAATTCAGTCATAGAACCTCACGATCAACAGAGTCGAATGCCACCTTAAGGTCGAGAAATACTACCATTGTGGGGCGTCTGAATGTGTGTCTGTGTTCTAGAACCTGACGTAGTGTGAATATCTGATCTATACAACCACGTCCAGGTCGAAAACCAGCCTGGTTTTCTCTAGTCTGCTCTTCACGAGTTTTAGTTAGGCGTCGAAGTATTATTGAAGCTAATATTTTAGACACTATATTAGTCAAACTGATTCCTCTGTGATTGTCACAAGAGGACTTTTGTCCTTTCTTATAGACTGGCACAATCAGTGATTGAGACCAGTCAGATGGGATTACGTCCAGTTCCCAAATTCTACCTAAGACCTCAGTTAATCTCACTGCTAATACTGGACCACCATCTTTAAAAATCTCAGGAGTAAACCTGTCAGGGCCTGCTGCTCTCCCTCGTTTCAGATTTCCTATAGCTTTTTGTGGTGTTTAAATTAACTAATCATTCTTTTGTACTTGTTGAATGCTTGATTTCGAATTCGAAATACAGTACATTCGTTTGTGCTTGTCTAGTACTTTTTTATTCGATTGTGTTAATTCTGGGATTCCTAGTTCATTTGATAATTCAAATACTTTCAGATATTATACTGGCATCGCGAGCAGGATCCTGTGATGGAATCGTTGGATATACATTCAGGTTTTGGTGCCTTTGAGGATTATTTTGAAAGGTTCGAAATCTGGGCTGTGACCAAGGAAGATGCTGAGGATGTTAATATTGTGGCACATTTCCTCACATTCATAGGAAAAGAAGCATATAGCTTATTAAGAACTCTGGCTATGTCGGAAAAGCCTATGTCGCTTCCTTATACAACTCTCAAGGAACTGCTGCTAGACTATAGTATACAAATTTCGAACGCAATAAAAGAAGGTTTTGTAAAGTGATTCATGAGGATATAAAAAATTCGACTACATTACTACGTCATCCCAACCCAGTGCATACTCAAGGCTATGCAGATAATTCATTGAGGAGTTGCAATGCATTTCACGAAGATGGTCACAAATTTGGTCAATCTTTGTCCTGTGAAAAGTTCCACTCTTTTAGTTCATGTAAATTTTGTTATTCTAAGTACTTTAAATGTGGTGATATTGGACATATTCAGTCAGTCTGTAATACCAATGTTCATCTTATTGCAACTAATATTAAGTCTTTTAATTCTGATTCTACTGAGTCGAGTATTCATAATAATCATTTATCTTTATCAACGATTTCAAAAGACAGTGTAGAGTCATATAGCAGCTCGGAGTTAAATGAAACTCAGAATGCTTGCGAGACAACAGTTTCTAATCAATCAACTTATCAGATTTCTCATGTTATTGTACCAGATATGGTTTTTCTTAATGATTCGCATATTTCTGATTAAATTCCTTACAAATCTGAGGAAAACATGTTGAGTGAACATAATTATGATCGAAAACCTGATGTAGTTTTGATGGATGCTAATTTTTCTAATGATCCTTTACTCTGCAATGACATTCATAATAAATTTGAGGAAACTATTTCAGAAGAATCAAATCTTGAAGCTCCATCAAATATTATTTGTCCTCATAATGCAGTTGTTTCTTGTGGGAAACTTGTTCAGTGCGAAGCACAAGTACTAAATGAGCTCGATTCTGATTGCAATTCGGATGATTTCATATCAACTGCTGTTTATCTTTATCACGAAGTCGCTTATAATGCTTATTCTAACCAATGTGAAAAATATGTTTTAAATGAAGCCACATTATTCATAACTTAGGGATATAAAGATCCAACATTATTTTGTGGGGGAGGATAGTGTTGAAAAATCTGTGGTTCGAATTCTAGATATTAATGATTTCAGTACAAAAGCGACATGCTGATTGTATACAATTCCAGGTGAGTCTGTTCCGATTTCGGTTGTTACTTCCAACACTAATGAGCACATTCTAGATAATACCGGGTTTTTATCAGATACAATGTCGGACAGACTCAGGATGAACTTAAGAAGAAGACGTACAACCTATTACAGACAATTATATTCCAGTTTAAGCGGTGGCAGATGTGGTGTTTGAATGAACTAATGATACCTTTGTACTTGATGAATACTTGATTTTGAATTCTGAATACAATACGTTCGTTTGTGCTTGTCTAGTACTTTTTTATTCGATTGCGTTAATTCTGGGATTCCTAGTTCATACGATAATTCAAGTACTTTCAAATATTATACTTTTTCAACTTCATAAAGAGTCGGAGGACCTACATTAACTTGCCATTCAGGTTGACTGGAGATCGTGGGAAATCGAAGTGTGGCTGAAGACCAGTTGAACTGATCGCTAAAATGTTCTGCCCATCGATCCAATCTCCTGGATTGAGAATGTTTAATATGTCCATCTTTCTCTGAGAGTGTTTCGCTAACAGTCGGTTTCCTAATACCGGTTTCCTTAACAAGTCTGAACAATTGTCTGCTATTACCTATTGCCGCTGTCTTTTCCATCTCTCTTGCTTTCGCTACCCACAACTGTTCACGATCATTGCGTGGGCTTCTTGTCAGCTTGCGCTTAAGCTGACACCGCTCTTCGTAGTGTTCAGATCCAGATGGAATGGGTTTTCGAGCATCTATCAGTGCGGTAGATGCTGCTGATATATATATATATATTATTAACCTCCGGATTTTCGAAGTGAAAAGTGGTATGTGAATCTGTTTAAGCTTAGTTTAAGGCTTGTTAGGTGCAGTAGCAATCTTCAGTGAAGATTCATTTTTGCAGATCATATGCAACATAATACAGACAGATTTCTGTAAATTGAATATGTTTACTATGTATCCTATTATTAATTCCACACATCTCATTTTATGCTATGGTATTTCTGATTATCTTCTTGTCTATTTTAGCAGTTAATATTCTCATCATTTTTCAGTTGATTTCAAACAGTGTAGATTTGAAGATGACAGTCTACTCAGTTAACACGAAAATCTGGGGGTAGCAAGTAGAAGGAGAAAGTAGGCTCTTGATTCGACAGTTACACTTACCTTTAATAATAAAACCAAAGGACGAAAATTAACAGAGCTTAAGAGGCGTTAAATTGAATAGGATCTTAAGTATTTATTACGCATCCAAATTTAACGAGCTGCCGTGGAATAAGTAGAAGTTTTACTTATGGGAGTAGCATATGACATTAAGATCAATAGGTGACTTCGTAGTCTATGCTAAAGTAGTATCAGACAAGATAAAAATGTTCATGTCATAAGAATATCAAAGCACTTAACTTTTATGATTACGGTGGTTTATTCCTCTGTAGAAATCATTAAATGAATTCTATTTTCGGTTATTCTATCAATTTATACTGGATTTGTCGATTGTGGAAAATTTGTCCCTGGACTTGAAGGCTTAAGAGTAATTTTTATAATTGATTCTATTCTCTATTATTTTTACTTGCATTCATATCAAATTAATACGAATATGCACCTTGATCACCATATTTTTTGATGGGTATTTGGCAGAAAAGTTTGGCGAAGATCGCACTGACTGTGAATATAGTTCGAAGACTGAGGTTTATTCTTTTGGTTCATACTGACCGATATATTCCCATTTTAGAAGGTGAAAGAACCTACATTAGATGATTGAGTTATGCCGAAAATTTTAATAGTTGAATTCATGAGTCGATCTAAGTTGGGTCACCACTGAATACATGGAAGCACTGGACGGATGTTTCATCCTAGTATGGGACACCTCGGAAGTATGCATCAAAGATCTCACACACGAAACTCGAACCCTGGGCCTTTGGTCTGTCGTAAGAACACTTAACCTCTGGACCACTGAGCCGGCATACAACGGTGCTAGTGTCTAACTTCAATCGACCCATGATCTTGTGAAAATCACTAACTTTTAAGAGTTAAATAGCATTCAAGATGTGATAATGGGTCGATCTAAAATATTCAAGATTTAAATTTGTTTATCTTATTAATCGTATGGTTTTAATTATTTTGTAGGTAATGTCATTTAAGTTCATATAAATAGGCAAGCAGTCATGCCTAACGCTTTCCTGTTTCAGTGATGAAATGTATGACTGAATAACGACCCTGAATTCAACCAGTTATCGATGTGACCTTGAAATTTCCGAATCAATTGAATCTCAATTTACGACCAATCATATACTGCGTAGTTTCCGTCCATATTTTTTTTCTATATAAAGCTATATAAATTGGCCTGGTTTGTTATTCTAATCAACTAAATACTAAGACTTAATACCGTTTAATAATGCCGTTAACATCACGTTCACCTTACGACAGTAAAACACTACTTGCTAAGTATTATGATTTGCCTCAACCTGATGACAAAATTCAAGTTATGTACGTATGGATAGACGGAAGTGGAGAAAATTTACGCTGCAAAACAATGACTTTACAAGAAGAACCAAAAGTTCCAGAAGGTACGTTGACAGTTTATTTTCAAAGATTCCTATTCTTTTTTTTGTGAATAAATCTTTGAAAAGAAAACTTTATTGAAGTAAATCATTTAATTGGCTATTTATTAACTTCATTAAACTTCGTTTTAAAATGAAACTATAGATCACAAATACCACTTTTGTAACTTCATTGATATATAAATAAAAACAATTTTCTTTCTCTCTAATCCTTATAAATTGCTAAAAAACATTTGTCATCAGTTTAGGTTTATTTCAATATGGATTATAAACAAATACAATGTGTTTTAACTTAAGACCTCAATGACAGTTTTTCTTTTCCATGTCTGATTTATAGTTATATATTTAACAGTACACTAGGTAAGAAATAACATATTAACCGTTACAACTAGGCTAATAGATTAAACATTTTTAAGTCTTTTATAAACAAATAGTACATATTTGACAGACACCTCGGAAGTATGCATCAAAGATCTCACACACGAAACTCAAACCCTGGGTCTTTGATCTGTCGTAAGAACACTTAACCTCTGGACCACTGAGCCGGCGTTGCATTCTTTAAAAGATTTTTTAACAAGTTTAGAATGATCTATAATAGACATACTGAAAAGTACATATAACTATTAAAAGTCAATCTTATAATATTCGCTTATTCTTCATTTTATTAAATATGCCAAAGGTGAACTATTATATCGCGTAGTATAAACCAGTATACTGTGATGTGTGCTACTTTTATTGACATAAGTAGTAAATGGTGTTAGTCGTGAACAGAAGGTCTGGCAGCAGAGAGATAAGAGGATCGAACAGTAAAGAATGGAAACAGAATGAGATTTTTATAAAAATGCAAGAACAATGAAGTCTGAGTCATTATGAGACAATCGGTGGACATTTTGAAATTAAGCATTTACTTTATGATTGTTAGATTTTATTAACAAGTCCTGTGATTTTGTGTTAAATACATTCGATTTTCCCCACCCGTGTTCTGTTCACTACAATACTTCTTAAATTTACAAATATTCACTCATTGAGAAAATAATTAATTTATTCTTAATCTTCCATCATATCTATAACATTATTTCCGTCGAAAGTTTCATTTACCTCTCTGAACCATAAAGCAATTCTAATAATCGTAATTCAAAATAGTTGAACCATGATAGGTTAAAGAAAACTGATCGATGCATTAACTTGTATTCGTTAGAATGATAACATAATTTTGTAAAATACATCTTCAACTATTGTATTATTGTTATTCTTCCCTGAACATTTATGCCATTGCCCAAAAAATGTAATTGAAGGTACTTAGGTCTAATGAACCAAGTAATATAACCAGTTATCTTGCATGTACTGTAACTCAAAGTTAGACATACGAAACTACACTTGGTTACATTACCATTATTATTACTACTGACGTTGAACGATTAGGCTTTTTTCTTCTATCCTTTCATTCAGAGTTGGAACAACTTCAATTAATCCAAATGAATCCTGACCTCTCTTCTAAAGTGCAATGTGATGTTACTGTAGTAAATGTTTACATGCATTACTGAATAGAATTGATGATAGAGTTTACAACGTTTCCTTGGATTGACTTTAAGGCATAAAATTCTAAATTATTCTTGTGAAAATTGTCTGAAATTTAATAACGTTTACTCAAATTACTTATAAAATAGTAAGTGTGACACTTTACTGATTGTAGATCACCTGATGTAGTGGTATGACTTGATGTCTTGAATTTTTTTCCTAATTACTTAAATTCCTTATTATATGTGTAACTATAATGTATGGTGTATTATTACAAAACATTTTAGAATTATAAAATGAATTAACCATATGATTGAATCTTCCTAAACAAATAATTTGACATGAACCGATATATTCATGAAAACAATATACTAATTTAACTAGGTAATGTAGATATTTCGAAATTTCATTCAACTTTTAATCATCGAATAAGAAAAACGGAATTCAGCGAAGAAAATGTCCTTTTCGACGAAATCATTTACTTAAGCTGTACATTCGTATATATATAGTTATATGGAAGACATATGTCTATAGGAGGATAGAAAAGATTGCATCACAAAAATGAATTCGAGAATAAATAACAAATGAGGTTACGTACTAATCAAATGGTAAGGAGGGAAATAATTTATGGGTTAGATAATAGTCCAGTAGGCATATATATATATATAAAACGACAAACACAAAGGTCATAATAATAGACTGAATAATAGCCAACTAAACTTGCATAAGGTAGTAATAATGATAGTAACGGATTGGAGATTAAAATGCAAAACAGTAGTTTAGAAAATTCAATAATAATCAAATAAAAGTGCAGAAAAAATCAACCTAGAGACGTACGCATTAAAGAAATAAGGGCCAAGGAAGGATGAGAGGTTGGACAAATCGTTTCTGCACATAAAGTTCAGGCCCGAGTTCATGGATTACCACTGTCTCAGCAGTGCATAAAATATTGATTCGACCCCCCCTTCGATCCAGTTCCTTTGACTCTGTAGACTAAGTAAATGATTTCCTCGAAAAGAAAATTTTCTTCGCTGGATTCTCTTTTTCTTATTCAATGACATTATGGTTTATTTTAATTATATTAATCGTCACTAAGTTTTGATGACTAACTTATTATCTATAACGTATTTTGTAACTTAAATATGCATTTTTAATTTAACTGTTTTTTTTATAAACTAAACAGAATTAATGAATAAACTTGTGAATGAACTCAGTTTTCAACCTTCTAATTACATTGTTTTAAAATTCTTTAAGATCAAATTTTATTCGTTTTGCCAGTGTAATACTTGTGTGGAGAATTCAATCCAGATGAATTCATTGTTTGTTTGTTTTTATCTCTTATTCTATATATTTCCTTTTAATAAAAAAAACAGACTGTCCAATATGGAATTTTGATGGAAGTAGTACGGGTCAAGCTGAAGGTTCTAATTCTGATGTTTATTTAAAACCGTGTGCAATGTTCCGTGATCCATTTCGTGGTGGCAAAAATAAATTAGTCTTATGTGAAACTTATAATTACGATAAGAAACCACATGGTAAGAATTTTGCTTGATAGCTTCTTATTGTTGTACTGCGAATATTTTTACTCATTTTTTTAATACTATAATACGTTATAATGTGAGATGATGTACAAATGTCCCAATAGATTATACAGTGTATACCAATATTAGTAATGATAGTAATTAATTTGATATAATTTATTTGCCATGTATATATTAATGTATTCAGGATTAAGTCACTTTGTACGTGAGCTATTGTTACTAGCCACTTATCCAGACCAAATTAAGTAGAATTTAAAAGCCCAGTTCTTCAATTAAGAAGCCAGTACTCTAATGAAAAATAATAATAGTACAATGACAAATATGTTAGTTACAAGTGTATATGAGAGAAAATGTTGAAAATGTTTGAAATCAAAGATTTAAACCTTTACTGTTCAGCACTGCATTTACAAATTATACGACGAATTCACTTCGGTATCAGATGACAAGAGGTAAAGTCAAGGTACTTGGGTATATGGATTAATGACGAGAATGCTACTAAGTTTGCAATTTATAAATCATGAGGAACGAATCGATTGCCTTTGTTTCTAGGTTAAACTAAAAGCTCAATTTTCTATTAATGAATGAGATTCATGATCATAAAAAATGTGAATTACTGTTGGAAATCAAGTTATATTATTAATGTTATCAATTTATCAGTTTTATACTAAATAATCTATATATGTGATTACCCGATCTCCGGACTTTGTGGAAAACTATGAATTTTCATATGACTTTGGAGAGAATCTCAAAATTTTCTATTGCATCTTCCCGAAAATTTACCTAGTACTGATGAGAATTTCTCCCAAATTAAGAGACTGAGTTGTTTTAAAATGGATTTCGATCGTCTACATGGAATATCCGTTCCTCGCAAGATATGGAGATCCTGACTGTGGCTGCTTTCAAGAGTATGAATATGCAGTGCCAGACAGTCTCAAACCAGGAATAGACGTTATTAGTGAAGGATCGAGTTATTTCGTTGTTGAAATTCGTGGGCATAAGGTACAAGGTTTCAGTCTCAATATAAACATTAACACTGAGACGTAGATGCATTCAGCTGACGAGTCCTGTATTCCACTTTTAACTACAATCCATGTATTATAAGTAGGCATAGACAATTGTTTCGTACTCCCTGTTTTTCCATGTTTTTCCAGCTGATCTATGGGTAAACATATTTTCAAAAGAACATACTTATGTAAAAATAACGGTTGGGATGTTTAAAAGCATTAGGCCTTGAAATTCAGCAACTAGAATTCTGTCATAATCAACTTTTTCTAAATCCCATTAATCTCATTTTAAAGTACATTAACACTTTATTACATATTTTCCCATCAATAGTATCGAATGTAATTATACTTTACTATATAGATAGATATATAGACAGACGGAAAGTAGGAAAAGTCGAATAGTACAAAAGTGTAGGTTTTTAGATAAAACAACTTTCAAATAAAGAAGAGGGAGGTAAAAAAAAGTAGGGAAAGCATGAACAAACAAAAAGGAAACTGATATTAGATAATAAAATGTCTAGAAGTTAAAGAAAGGTATAAAACAAATTGAATGTATATCCATCATCGTGATTGTGAACTTTGTCATTTAAAGATGTCAGTTACTGACTTTTAATTTAAGGAAGAAAAAGACTATACTTCTTGATGAAAATCAGACCAACAAATGACTGATTTGATAGATTTAGACCATATTTCTATATCTTAACATTCGATATCTATCTATATAAATGGCGGAATAATTCTGTATCCTATAAAAGATTAATCTAGGCTAAAAAACTGTCTTCTTTGTTAGCGGTTCATATTGAGAGTAGAAATTATGATCCAACTTGTTTAGTTGTCTTGAAGTTCCGATTTTGTTAAAACAAAGATATAAAGTGAATGAAAAATATTCTTTCCAATAATATATTCATTGACTATGAGAAGACGTTTGGCAGTGTGGATAGGAGGACCTTATGGAAACTTCTTCGATACCTTTGTGTACCTGAGAAGATCGTCAAAATCATCCGGAATTCATACAACGGACTACAGTGCAAAGTGGTGCATAGAAGACAGCTGAAAGATGAACTCCAAATGGAGACCGGTGTCAGACAAGACTGTCTACTCTCGCACTTCCTCTTTCTTCTGGTGGTTGACTGGATTATGAAGACCTTCACATCTAATGGAAAGCACGGAATACAACAGACAGCTTGGACGCAACTAGACGATTTAGACTTCGCAGATCACCCAGTTCTTCTATCCCATACACAAAAACAAAATCAGGCGAAGACAGCCAGTGTAGCAGAAGTTTATGCAGCAGTGATCTTCAACATACACAATGGAAAAGCAAAATCCTCAAATACAACAAGGAGAACACCAACCCGATCACACTTGATGGCAACTCTGGAACACGTGGAAAAATTCACGTATCTGGGAAGCATCATAGATGAACAAGGAGGATCGGATGCAGACGTAAATGCAAGGATTGGTAAAGCAGGGGCCGTATTCCAACAATTGTCAACTAATATCAAAGTGAGAATCTTCAATACGAACGGTAGGACAGTTCTACTGTACAGGGATGAGATTCGGAGAACGACTACAACCATCATCAAAAAAGTACAGATATTTAAAAACAGTTGTCTACGAAAGATGCTGAATGTCCGTTGACCGGATAACATCAGTAACAGTCTACTATGGGAGAAAACAAACCAGCCTCCATCTGAAGAGGAAATTAGGAAAAGACGATGGAAGTGGATAGGTCATACATTACGGAAATCACCAAAGTGAATCACGAGGCAATCGCTAACTTGGAATTCTGGAGGGAAACGGAAAAGAGGAAGGCCGAAGAACACATGGAGTCGGGAATTGGAGGCGGACATCAAAAGAATAAATAGTGAATGGCAATAGTTAGTAAACATTTGTGATGAAAAACTGTACTACTATTCTGATTGGATTACCATAATCTGTATTTCTGCGAATTCGATCATAGTCAGCTTAAGTGTATACTACCTAGTTCAAAGATTGACCATTTCAGTGATCCGAATTGACAATTTGATGATTTCAACTTTTATAAGGAAATTTTTTTATTTCTTTATGTCTAGCAAGATAGTGAACTTAGTTTCATTTATTCGAGGGAAAAAAACTTTTGAAAATTACTTGCTACTGGCTAAAGAAAACTCATGCAACTGATGTACGTTCACCTTTTCTTTGTGTCTTTCACTTTGTTTTACATTCCACTTACTTTTTAGTTTCAAATCATCGTTATCTTTGTAATCTTGTCATGGAGAAAGCAAAATCTCACCAACCATGGTTCGGTATCGAACAAGAATATGCTCTATTAGACATCGATGGTTATCCATTACAATGGCCTAAAAATGGTTTTCCTCCACCTCAAGGTAAGTTTCCACTTTTTGTCAAAACTATTTCATAATTTAATCTGTTTACAATTGCATTAAAATAGTTGAACCTGGTAAATTGTCTTAGACATTCCATACTCTTCTAGTGAAAGTCATTCTGTCTGTGTGACAGTTAACTTCATCACTATCACCTAATTAAAATAGTCTTTTCATATTGCAACTCCAACCTAAAGCTGTACAGTAACATTGTTGTAAGATGTTAGATGATTAAATTTCGTTTGAGCATCATCAGTTGAAAAATGGTTAAGGTTAACTGGATACATAATAATGTACTGATATTGTGAATCAAAATATTTGAATAAACCAGTCTAATATACAAATTAATAAACGAAACCAAATGTCGAGGCTTACAGCAGCAGGCTACAACTAACAGTATTATTCAAATGGATCTTAATTCAATAGAGAAGGCAACTGAGTGATAACTCATTGAAATACCTGAGAAACTATTATTTCACAGATTAATTACTTCATTTCAACATCGATCCTGAGGGTTGTAAAAAATTCCAGCTAATGATAAAAAAATAATCAGTTGAAAATAATTGAAGTGTTTACTACTTAATTACTTGAAATAACTATGTTCTTAAATAGAGTATAAAATCAAAATTAACGGAAAAGAAACGAAAGTAAACATGAATATTGATCATATGTAGTCTTTTATACGAATTCATCATTCATGAATATCTTTTCAACAATGTATATAACGCATAATTTTAGGCATAAAATTAGCCGGACTGTATTTTTGAAATTTCAATTCTTGATCAACATAAATAGTAACCTTATTGAGTTAAATATTACTTCATCGGTTGTTTACATGCTCACTTTAAAGAATCATAACAGAGCTGTGCTTCAATGCTAATTACTTGATTTAGTTAGATGAATGAAACTTTCTTTCTTCCCTCAGTTATTTCCGCCTTATTGTAATCATTCTTTGTAAATTATTCAAGTTTATTTATTGAGTTTATATCGCTTAGGAGAACGTTTGGAAACATAACTATACTGTTTCTCGATAAAGTATATCCATTCAACTTGACTTATAAATGGTAATATCTCTTACTTGCTTACTTACTCCTGTTACTCCCAATGGAGCATAAGCCGCCGACCAGCATTCTCCAATCCACTCTGTCCTGGGCCTTCTTTTCTAATTCCATCCAATTCTTGTTCATTCTTCTCATGTCTCTCTCCATTTCTCAGAGTAATGTGTTCTTTGGTCTTCCTCTCCCCCTTTGACCTTGAGGATTCAATGTGAGGGCTTGTTTTGTGACGCAGTTCGGTGCTTTCCTCAATTTGTGTCCTATCCACTTCCAGCGCTTCTTCCTGATTTCCTCCTCCGCTGGGATCTGGTTGTTGTTGATGGTGTCTGTCCAACGGATCCGAAGTATTTTGCGTAGACAGCTGTTAATAAACACTCGTATCTTCTGGATGATTGCTTTCGTAGTTCTCCAGGTTTCTGCCCCATACAGTAGAACTGTTTTGACATTTGTATTGAACATTCTGACTTTGGTGTTGGCCGATAGATTATATCTCTATTGACAGTTAAATCTTCAGAAGGTTGATTTATAGATCGAGATCTAATAATAATAATAATAATAATAATAATAATAATAATAATAATAATAATAATAAAACATACTTCACAAAATATCTTTCATCAAATAAATTAAGTAACTAATTCATTGAATTTATTACTCATAAACAGTCCCTCAAAATATATGACTCCTGATTAAAACATTCAATATTATTTGCAGATAATGAAGTCGATAAATTCCAGTAGTTTAGTATTAATTTTAACATATCAATTTGTTCTTATCTACTCTTTTAATGTTTGTTTATATTACCAATGTTAATAAAAGCTGATCAGTTGCTTACTTTTTTGTTAGTATTTCAGTTATTAATATATATGTTGTTGGATTTGAAGTGTCATGATTTACATATGTAAAATTTTGGAAACTTTCAGTTTCTTACTTATTTTCTTGTAAAACTGTCAATAGCTTTATAATAATCTTAGTTAAGCTAAATTTACAGAGGTATGATTATATGATAATTCAGAGCTATTAGTTAAAAAAATATCTCTATGACAATTTTTCTTTGATAAAAAATGTTAAAACTAGTAAATTGATCCGTTTTTTAATATTCTGTTACATCATTTATGTTTGGGGTAGAATAGTGAAATCCATATAATCAGTTTTGTGCTCAACTAGATAGAAATATCTCAACATTGTGGCGAAATTCAAACTGTCTCTTGGTTTGTTTCAGATATATTTATTTTTCTAAAAACTAATGACAGTTGTGACCTAATTGAAGTATTCTTCTTTCTGTTGCTCATTAAATCCTAAGAGTTAAATGTGACCCACTAGTTGCTTGCACTCAACTGAATATAAGATGAATGAGCTCTCAATAAATGTTTAACCATGTACGCTAGTTTACAAATTTCTTTCACATTGTATGAATTATCCCTCCCAAATTTCTTAGGACCTTATTATTGTTCTGTTGGAGCTGGTAAAGCACTTGGTCGTGATATACCAGAAGCTTTATACAGAGCATGCATGTATGCAGGAGTTAAAATTTGTGGTAGCAATGCAGAAGTTATGCCATCACAAGTAAGAATTTATTTAATAAATGTTATTATCATTATTATTTGAACAAAAGATGTATTCAGTTAAATGATTTTTTTTCATTTATAGACAGACACTAGTTATAAGCCACTTCTTTTAGTTTAAGATTTCTCATGTAGATCTGCCGTTATCCGATATTATCAGGAGTTAAATATCTTGATTAGATCGACATTATACAATGTTCTATAACTTCAATAAATTCACCCGATAGGAAATCATTGATCAGCTATAAATTAGTGTTAAGATGGATAATAATGTTTAAATTTTTTAGTTCAAAACCTGATACGATACATTATACGATCGTAATTAATTGTATTTCCCAATGAATAAAATTGGTTTAAATGATAAACAGCAAATTATATTATTTGGTTAAGAAGTTTACAAAAATACATTTCATCATGGGTTAACAGCTGAAAAACTACTAAAACTCAATAAGAAGTGAATAGATAACATCAGTTCATTATAAAAATTATTTTCAAATGGCAGTTATCTTAACGTGACACATTGATAAATCGTAATTGTATACTCAATAATGACTAACTTTAAAATGGATTTTTTTAAAGTTCGAGCTATATAACTACGTGATTTAAAAAGTCAACTAAGTGTAACCTAATGATGAAGATAAGATTAAGTTGTAAATGAGTTAAAATTAAACATGTTATATATTCAATAAAAGACTTAAATATTTTAAATTCAATTGTACATTTCATTGTATATATTGTATACATGTATGTATGTGTTATCGTGAGTGGGCACGGTTACCGAATTGCAAACCATGATAAAATAGTCACTAAGTACTCCATAATTTCCGTGATTCGTTAACATATAACAATATTAGGATTACAAACCTTTTTCCCCCCTTTGTTTCTGTTTTTTGTGTAAGAAACTTGTTGAAATACCCTGTGCTGAGAATTCTATATTGTACCAAAATATAATATTGAATAAAGCCATTAATAATAATAATAATAATAATAATAATAATAATAATAAGAAGAAGAAGAAGAAGAAGAAGAAGAATGAACCCATAACCAATTTTATTCTCTGATAAATAAAACGATTATTACACTGTGTACTTCATAATATATTTAGTGTTATTTATTGTCCATTTCATTAGTGAAAAGCCTAAAATAGTATCCATTGTATGCTAACTGTATTCATACAATACTCACCAAAATTTTTCAAATAATATTAAACACACTACAGTGTATTTTATTTCATCTAAACAATAGGATTTTTGTGGTTTCACATTGTTTGTAACAATTACGTTCACAAGTAGTGACACCGCATTTGTAGGACATGCTGTTCGTGATGTCAAGGTTAAAAAATAAGTAACAGCACCATCAGTTGGACAAAGAAGGTTATCCATTTACAAAAGTGTAATCAAGTTAAGCCTTGATGAAAATAACTAATACGGTTGAAATATTCTACTTGTTTTCGATATCTCGACTTATAACTTACCTTCAGTCTCATCATCAATGGGGAAGTTCCACAAAGCAGTATTTAACACTGATTTAGTAGATTACAGAAGAGTGGTATCAAGTGTTTTATACAAATCCAGACTTTAAGAGTCATTAAAATCTAATGGCTATTTTTAATGTACCAGTATAAAGTGACCTTAAATATGAGTTTTCATTACAATAAATTACAATAAGTAGCTGTTCGTGTTATTACATTCTACACTAAAGTTATCAATGTAGTTCATTTTTATCACATTTTCAAGGTTTGCCACTGACAGTCCTTTAATCAGTGTCTACTAATTGAAACATGGAAAAAGATTTCTTCGTGTTTGTAAAGTAATAATTCTGTGTGACTGCCTCCCAAAGGATGTTGCTGTTCGATTTCGCTCACTACAAGCACACCACTTTAAATGCTAAATCCTTGTCCATTAAACCGCCGAGCTATGATAGCTATCACCCACTGGTGATTTGTGATACTAAAATGATAAGTCAGTTTTGACGAACAAGCTGTTTAAACTGATACCTCACTATTACTTCTATTTTTATCATGACTTCTAAGTAATTATCCATAGTTGGAAAACCAAACAAATTTTACGGTGAACTTTATATCCCATGTGTTTAACTTTCATAGTGGGAATTTCAAGTTGGACCATGTGAAGGTGTCTCAGCTGGTGATCATTTATGGATGGCTAGATTTATATTACATCGTGTAGCTGAAGACTTTGGAGTGATTGTGTCACTAGACCCGAAACCGATGCCTGGTAACTGGAATGGTTCAGGAGCGCATACAAACTATTCAACTCAGGCTATGAGGGATCCAAAATCAGGTTTACAGTAAGAAAAATATTTATTTTTAAGTCTGTACTTGAATGTATTTTTTTCGGATGAAACTAGTTAACAAGGTATGATATTTTAAGGAAATTAATTTTTACTTCTATCAGTAAATGAAATTTACTTACCTTGTACTCATTATTAAGGAATATGATAAATGAACTTAGTAGTCACATCTAAAAGTACACTATCAAGATAATTAAATCGACTTCTTAATTCAACTAACTGAAAGCTTTTTATTTTGTTATTGACTTTTGATAAGATGAAGAAATGTTTTGTCATAAGACTAATAATAAACAAACTTCTAAAAGATTACAATTTTCACAAAATGTTTACTCATCTAAATGAAAATTATATTCTGATTAATATTAAATTTATAATTCCAATAGTTGAGTCCATGAGTCAATTGAAGCTAGACCATCATGGAAAACCTGGAAGCACTGGGCGGCCATTTCGCCCTGTTGTGGGACTCTCCAGCAGAGTGAAACCATGATCCTGCCTCGTGAGACTCGAGCCCAAGATCTGTCGGTCTCGCGCGCGAACACTTAATCTCTAGACCTCTGAGCTGGCCAGTATCCAATGTTTTTAATATCTAACTACAACTAATCCACGAAATTGAGTGATACTTTCAACACTGTCTACATAAAAATACAGTAAACAATGGTAGACGGATTGCCGTTGAATAGTTGAATAGCATGACAAACTATTTCATGAAATCACTATCATGAAGAAGTTTGTTTTAAGATCCAAAGTAGAAAAACAATTATTTTATCAGTCTACAACCTTAAACATTGCTTTCTTCCAATTTAGTACTTCATGAAATAACTCCATGTTGCTACTTTTTACTAACATGGTATACTAAATTACTGAAATAACGAATAGTGTTATTTATCAATTCGCTAATTCGAAAGTATATTTTCTTTAAAGGAGAAAACATTTTAATGACTAAATTATTTAAATAACTCAACATGGGCCTGTATGTAATGCTTCTCTATTTCATCGTTGGCATGACTGGTTGAGATCGCCATTTAATAATTTAAATATCTCGCATATTGTTCACACATCACTTCATCAGCAAAACATGTGATTATCATGTGATGAAGAAATCATAATTACGGGTCAGATATTGGATAACAGCCAATTTTATTTTTTCTAGACGTTAGTGACACTGGTAAATGAGTTTACAATATAACCAATAACTGAATTGGCATCACAATGGATTTCGTTTAACGTCACATGTTTTAAAGAAAAAATGTTATCAACAACTGTTTCATGTATAACAAGTTAAACAATATCCAGTTTTTTGATTAAATGAATTCCAACAATGGAATTAAAAGTCAACAATTTAGAAATACGATCATTTCATATAAAACTGTTATCTCAAGCAGAGATGGACGGTGGCTAACAATTGAATCCATGACGCGCGTTTCGCCCTATGTAGGACTCGTCAGTTGAATGTACCTGCAATATTGAGGTAATGCGCACAGGATGCACATATTCTAAAAGAGACTGATCAATTGCAGTCGTAAACATTAACGGGAGGATCCGAACAACCAATATATGAATTAAAACTAAAATACTGACATTATTTAAATGTGTAATGACTGGGGCTGTGCTTTACCATAGTATTTATCATTTGTCTGGTAAAATAAGGAGGGTCTTGTGACCTAAAGTAACGACCTTAACCTTCCTAAATAGACATTATTTAAACGAAGCTAGATATTTGCCAAAAGCGGAAGCTAGGACGTACGTTCCATCCTATGTTGGACTCAACACCTGGATCTATCTCCACTTACGTGTTGATTTTCACACCAAAACTAGAAAATTCTTGTCGAACTAGATAAATGGGAAGATAACAAAAACAAAGATACTACTGAAACACATTACGAATCATACCGCATTAAATAATAAGCCATTATTACCAGAATAGTTTACATGTGGTTCATATATAAATGTCTTAACAAGAGAATATATTGAGTCAACAATATATTACGTATTTCTGACCATCTTAGTCGTCTCATCACACCACCCTAATTCACCAGTGTCTAACTGATTTAAAGCACTTATCAGCTTAATTTTGCCAAATGTAAATCATGAAGCTAATAAAATATATTTCCAGTTATGGTTATTATTTAAACAAAGGAACTAATTACATGCTTTTGGAAGGTGAAGGTCGTTTCTTTCTATCACGTGACCTGACCTATTTCAAAAGACCAACGATGGATATTTTATAAAAGTGCAACTTGAGTCAAATAGGGATCATTAGTTTAGTAATCAATGTGATTGAAGTGTATGCATTAGGAATGTTCTTAAAATATTCAATTAATATAGTGTATCATCCAATAAAGTGTTGTCTAAACAGACATTTCGATCATTAATCGAAATTTACTAGTACTAGCAAAATTCTGAGGAGTGTAACTAAATATTTCATTCCAATTTTCAGTTCCTTCATTTTGTACAGGTCCTTAGCTAAAACATCATAACATGTGGTCTACAGTACCATTTAGTCGGTAAATGCTTAGTTTTCAACCTCAATCAATTAATAACGTAATTTGCTTGATGTTTTATTCTACTAGTTGGTCCCAACTCATAGTGTTTCTAAGCAAATTTTATGAAATCCATCTGTTAACAAGTTACTAATCACCTCAATAATCTTATGAAATTGATGATATACGACGTCGGAAGTAGGACTTAGATGAAAATATTATCACTTCAGTACTCTCTAGTTTCTGACAAGTAAAATTAGTTATCACAAACCGTCTATCAAAATGCTTTTTTGGTCTAACCAAAAAAAGCTTCACACAGTGAATAAATTACACACAAAACGATTCACTCATTGATTACCTTCAGAAATATAGAATTTGAAAAAAGCAGTATATTGGTTTGATTACATTCAAAATGAGAGAGTTATCTTCGGCAAACAAGAAATAAATATCGTGTTTGTTTCATCTAGCATTATTGATTCTAGATCCCTGAAATAAGTAGACGTACTAGTAACATAGATAATAAATAAATATATATATTTGTAATATCCCAATGTGTAAAAAATTGGATTTTCTGACGTTTCGTGACTCAGTGTAAGCCACTTCTTCAGAGAATAAATAATTAAATCACAATTAATCCAAGTCACGAAACGCCAGAAAATTTAATTTTTCTACTCATTAAGATATTACAATTATATTAATTTATTTATAACAATCTACCGAATGCTCAGTTCATTCGAAATTATCAAGTTAAACCTTCGTAATGATACCTATAACAAAGATAATGTTTTTCACAGCACACTACAAGTTTTCACGAAAAAGTATCAGAATGTCTAAAAATTTCACGTTTCATTACTATAAACATTTAAAAAAATTACAATGAATAGAAATGAATAAGTTATTATAAGAAAATCACACTGGTATTATTACTATTATTGTTTTATTTAGAGCAATAGAAGATGCCATTGAAAAACTATCACATAAACACATGGAACACATTCAATGCTATGATCCTAAACATGGTTTAGACAATCAAAGACGTTTGACTGGTAATCATGAAACAAGTAGTATTAATGATTTTTCATCTGGTAAGTTAGTATCTCCAAAGAGATTTTGTTCTTAATGTTCTACAACTTTTTCAAGCAACAGATGATATCACCATGTACATAGTATTTAAAGTTTACAATATACAAACGAAATCTGTTAAAAGCTCAAAGTTCAGCGAAGGGACCTCTTTTCAACGAATTTATTATCAAGCTGTACAATCATATATATATAACGTTTTTGTTAAAGTACTAGTTCCGTGAGGAATTGTGAACACGAATAACCAAGATGACGTAATACAAAGATTATAATACTAGATTACGTAATACGAATAATAACAATAGACTTAATAAGTTAGTAACGAATTGTAACGTGAATGTATTAAGATTAAAATGTTTTTGTTACAATAATCAAAGGTCATTAAAGGTCATAGATGTGTAAAAAACAAATAAAGTGATATGATGATCGTTTATGAATAAAATAATGAGAATATGAGACATAAGTAAAGGGCCAAGGTAACGATAACGATAGGACGATAGGAATGCGAGTTCTTCATTCCATACTACATATCCGATGTATTCGATGACATAAAGAGTGAATGAGATTTCTCTTTCTGGAACTAGTACTTTAATAAAAAAATTTTCATATGTATACGATTGTACACCTTGATAATAAATTCGTTGAAAAGAGATCCCTTTGCTGAACTTTGTGTTTTTAATGTTTAAATGGGACTAAGACTAGTTATAATGAAAAAATATCATAAACGGTAATCTGTGTTTAGTTTCAGAATTATTGATAGAAATGAAACAAATGTTGATCTCTCCTTAACATTGAGAATTTTATAAACAAACTTAAATGCAGTTGTAAAATCAACCTTCAGTTTTATAGATTCACTAATGACTGGAGTTATGTTATAGACCTAGAATAATTATTGGCTTGAGAAAAACTTCTTATAAATAATTTGCAATCAGTAGTTCTATGGTAACTTTTTACTAACTACTTTACTATGCTTTATTGATTTCTACAAATCCCTAAATAACCAATCATAATAAAGCCTGATCACATTCTGGATAGGATTAACCGTTCATTGTTTCAGCTGTGAGACGAATTGTCGATCGTTTTTTTTTTGAAAAATTATTTGATTCAATTTTCACTCATTAACTCTATTGAAAAAATCGAAATAGTGACAAGAAGTTTGTTTCATGTGGGTAGATAAATAACATATTCGATTGTCTTACACATATTATGTTTAATTTACACATCCAATCATAAAGTTCTATCATTTCCTTCAGTATTCTGATGATTATTATCAGCATCACGTTAGTATCATTTTAAACTCTACTCAATTGACTTTGCCGCTCAAAAATATACACAGTTTAGGATATTGTCGAACTTATTGGTTGATAGACCATATAGATTAAGCCTGTTTATACTTCAATTGAGATTAAATAGCTATATCATCCAATTCGGTTAGTAAGTACACACTCGTGTACCCGGCTTCGTGTAAAATTCTTCATATAAGGGTTAGTGATATTATCCTCGAATATTCACCCTGTTCTAAAAGGGCAGAAATATTTTACCTTTCTGTGTAAATTATGTAGTTTGGATTGTTTCATACGTGTGAAAACTTCTGCTTCTAATTTAACTGAATTAAATTTTCAGTTAAATTATATGAGTATTAGTTTTTATATTAATATCTGTTTTTATGTCTTTATTTAAATCCATTTTGTGAGTGCACTGATTTGCACTTCATGGGCCAGACGGTTCACTTGTGTAATTGTTTTCTCACACGATAGATTTTCTTTAAAATTCAGTGCTTATTCTTTTCGGGTTCTACCAATACTTTTTTCTGCCTTTGTCCACTTCCTTAACACAACAGTCCAGACTAAACGTTGTTGTGGTAGACGAAGACGCCTCTATTTTGTCGAGTATGGGAAGCAATGTGAAAACTGTAACAATTGGTATCCTCATGTTTGCACTAGATTTCCCCTGAACTTGTATAAGAATTGTTGCAAATCACAACCATAATGATTGTACAAAATACACTGTCCTATAACGTTTCTGTTGATACTTGAAGTAATAGAGCTAATGAATCTAGCTAGGAAACTTCTCACAGATGAATAGTAAGTTACAGAACACTGATCGATCTGGGGAATATATTGAGCATCACTATCAATCCAGCTTCAGATCCAGATAGAACCATAGTAAAACACTTCTAGAACATAGAGAACGATTAATCTACCAATTTACGGAAGGCTTTTAGGAAAAATATCAAACGCCCAGAGAAAAAGGGTGTAATACAACAGCAATCCAGTGAAAACCATGCATTAGCATAGCCCATACGACGCAGGAGACTCTTTAAAGAAACATGGTAAGGTCAATGAATGGTTAAAAGCAACGTTCGGAAAAGCAACTAGGAGAAGAAAATATGAAACCCAGTCATCTGTTATCAAACCAGTTTGCAAAGGAGAAAAGGGTTTGAGCTAAGGAATCCCAGTTCTCAGTACTAAATCATATTTCTCAAAGGAGTCAGTCATGTTGCATAAGCTGAAACAATCCCGAAAAAAGATCCAAAGGTAAGTTTAAAGGCAACCTGAACTACAATAAATACCTAACATTCAAGCTAATTCCGGATACAATAAAGCGAGTTAGCATACGCAAATTACTCAGAATAAGATAGAAATTGTATTCAGAAAGTCTTCAGGCAAGACGAATTTTTAAAGTTCATTTGGCATCCACTGAGGAGTAAAGTCTATTAAAGAATCCTCCACAAACTGCGTTTATCTAATCTTTAGGTCCACTCCGACTTCTGGCTGGCTTATCTCAATAAGAGACGATCTGCAGGAATGGAAATAAACGGATGTCGTCAAAGTTATGGTGAAAACCTTAAACTAAAGAGTCTTTGAATCGACAAAGTCGGGAGCAAACGGATCCTTAAACCACTCTAAGTGGTACTGGAAAGTACTCCACAGAAATAACGGTTTGTTAAACAAACATTCCCAGACTGCTGAATGAAATAACAGAGCTCACAAACAATGGAAACACAAAATTTTGATATCTTCTTCATTTCATATATTTGGCTAATGTCAAAAGTAAATGATAGCGAAATTCAGTCGTTTACTTTTTTTACTTTGTAGAACCAACAGAATAAGCCATAGAGGAGATGGTGTTGTCCTGTGTTTGAAGAACGCCTTAAGTATTCGAGTTGCTGAGACCGCGGTATACGATTTAGACACGTGCGAATTAATGCAGTCTCGAATAAAATGTAGAGGAGCGTATATCGAACTAGTTTTGTGTATCATGGCCCTCAATCCGCAGCAGACGATTTTCATTTTATAAACTGTATTTCTAGTCAGTCAAGTACAGAAACCTTTGGCAGCTGACTTGAGTTGAATTAAAGGCGGAATTATTAACAAACCCGTTTGATTACAAATTGCTGGAAACTACATACTCATTAACTTTAGTCCAGTGCACTATAGAACCCATTGAATATGAAATACAACACTTTCCTTTTGTCCTGGGCCTAGTTTTCGCTAACGGAGACAGTGCTAGTTAAATTAAATGCCTACGCTGTCATAATATTTGAGTTCAATGTTGCCATGGCCTACCAAGCAGGCTTGCAACCCCCCTAATATACGGAATGGGAGACGTAGATAACTTTAGTCCTATTTCGTTATAATCTCGGAGTAACAGTTGTTCATGACCTAAAGACCACGACTCACTGTCGTTTTTCATACACTACTTTATTTCGACTCCATTTCTTATGAGTTTCCTGTAACATAATTATAAACACATAATTATAAACATCTTTCTTCTACTCTTTCCTATTTCGTCTTATATAGGTGTTGCAAATAGAGGCAGTAGTATACGTATTCCAAGACAAGTTGCTGAAAATGGTTGTGGTTATTTGGAAGATAGACGTCCATCATCCAATTGTGATCCATACATGGTCACCAGAATGTTAGTAGAAACAACATGTCTTTAATTATTATTACCATTATTTATAAAATAATGAAGAACTAATACACAACAAAGAAATCAATTTTTTTAAAAACATAATGTTACTAAATAATATCGAATGTTCCCATATAATCACTTCATTTTGTTAGTGGTTACAATAAATTTAAAAACTGTATTTACATAATTTTGATAACCATTGTCATCATTAATTTTTCTCCATTGTTTACGAAGTTATCATCGTCATCAAAAGCAGATGCAAGAGCGGTAGTGTCGTTATTATTGACTTTTCAATGATCGAACAATTTTTATTTTCTAGTATTTTCTATCATACAAATTTATAGTTTACTTAGTGAACTAATCATTGTCCCAGTTACTGTTTAATTATTGAACCATTCACAATAAAGGGATTAAGAAATGTTGAATATTGATTTGGGTTTTTTAAACAAATAAACACATACACCATCTTTTCTGTTTGTCCTTTTATATCACTTGTCATTTAAATTTATCGTTTGTGATTTATATAAGAAAAATCGTTTTATTTTTTATTTTAAAAAGTTATGAATAAAAAACATTAAGAAACGAACCATGAAATCTAATCGTTTCTTGATCTCAATTTTATGAAAAAACCTTAATTTGAAACAAAGATAGATAGTAGCTAGCAGTGGAATCAAGGACGCGCGTTTCGTCCTATTTGGGACTCGTCAACTGGATGTCCTAAATAACAATGGGAAGATACAACTAAAACAACACTAAGTGAATTTAAACTTCCCCCCATTGTAAAAGCAGTTTGCTATCATGACTTAGTAGCTAAGTGGATAACGCAATGGCGTTTGAAGCGAACGGTACTAGGTTCGAATCCCGGAGTGAGCATCAACTCTGCGATGCAGGTACATTCAGCTGACAAGTCCCAAACAGGACGAAACGCGCATCTCGGATTCCACTGCTAGCCACTATCCATCTTTGCTTAAAAAGCTGGTTACTTAAGACTATATCGAGGCAGTCCACACGGGATGCACATATGCCAACATGAGACTGATCAATTGCAGTCCTAAATAACAGTGGGAAGATACAAATAAAAGAACATCAAGTGAATTTCAACCTTAATTTGGAATATGATATCCATTGGAATCTGATATCAGTTGAAGAATCATTGTGGTTTTTTCAGCTTTTTCGTTTCATAGCATGAATGTTAGTATGAGATATTGGGCATGAATCCTAATTTAATTGCTACTATTATACCATGAGATACACAATTAGAAATATACAAATTGGATGGCTCTTTCCTAGTAAAACATTATTGACCATTTCATTTCCAGAACTCCAATTCGTGTCGACGGTCACAGTTAAGCTGAAGAGTATAACTTTAATCGTACAGTTAGCATACAATGTACTACTCAATTCAGCGTAGTCTTTGTTCAGAAAGTTAGTAAAAATATAAGAGGTTTGAACTCCATCAGTCAGAACTTGTCATTAGAACTTCGGGACTTTATCTCAAACTAATCTTCGCAACCAACCGAATTTATTTATGAAATAGATGAATTATATCTGGTAATGAAATCGAGGAATTATGTTTCATTCTCATCAACTGAATGTACCTCCATCCCAATGTTGATGTTTATATCAGGAACAAAAGAAACAAAACACATGTCTATATGTGAAAAAGCATTGATACTTTCTTTTCTCTTACTTTCAAATGAAAAAAAAGCAAAAACAGTAGCCCAATTCAATGGTATTATTTGTGATAATATAATCTATGGATGATATCAGTCATACACTAATTATTAAGAATGAGAGATAGTACAGTGAAAATTTTCCAAGAGATTTATTTTTGAGTCATAGCATGTATATTCAAAGTTATCTTCCATAAGGAACAATTAGTGGTAACAGTAGACAGAAAACTTAAACCATAAATTCATCCGTTTATTATTTTTCAGTCATTTCTAACCACCAGAAAAATGTTATTAATAGATAGTGTTAAAGGTTTCTCATAAAGCTTATAATTCTGATGAATCACTTTTACACCCGTTTAAACTGAGTAATAATAACAATAATATATTACTTCTTTAAGAGTAAATCATATATGACGTTATCTATCTAGTACTTATACCGGGGAAAACAAAGAGCTCATAGAAATTAAATAGTGTTCTATAAAAAGGAACGGTCCAGAATGTTCTGAACTTTGGAATATTTGTATGAAAGTTGTGCCTTTTTAGTAAAATAGAATAACGTCAATGAGTACTTGGCTATATTAGATGTATACAGTTAAATTCCGTAAAACCCTATCGAATCTGGTGTATGCAAACTATTAAGGCGAATCTTTAAGCAGAACCTATATTCACTACAGTCAATACCATATTTACATTTTACAATGTAGCAAGCAAATTACAGGTTAGATAAAAATTAAATTATTGGATACTTATCGTGATCTGATTCTGTTATTCTCCTACACAACATTTTATACAAATACTGCATATAAATTGAGATTAAGCTAGTGTTTTCCCATCATTATTACTAAGGTGTACTTCGGAGGTGATTTTCATTACGAACTGGTATAATCAAAAATCAGTCAAATGATACCTGTTTTTTATCAATAATAGTACTACTGATGTGAATGAAAACTCAAGTGGGGGAAGCCACCTCAATGTCTATTGCAAAATTACAGTGTGTTAGTAAGATATGAAAACCATACAGTAAATACATAAATTTCACATTTTCTCTCAGTTGTCTCTTACAAACTTCATCGTTCCTTTATTCCTGTTGTTATTTTAATTGCTTTACGTTTTCTTCTCTCTTCTCTTCATTTCAATCTACTCAATTTTTTGTTCGCAGGCATTCTACTTCTTAACAGTGCCACATGATACTTATATCTGTCAACATGATAAGCATACACCACACTACAAGTATAAATTTAGGCTGTTTGCAGCTTATGAGAATCGTTGAAATACAATAAATTCATGTTATTTTCTAAATCTAATTCCCCTCATTTCATTTAAATTAATCAAGGGATCAAGATGTAAGATCTTTTTATTGGTTTAGGAGTTTAAGATCTTTAGACATTTTAAATAACACAATTCTGTTTGGGAGCATATTTTGAATTCAACAGGGAGGGCATTCACAAAACGACTGTCCATTATTATCACCTTCCTTTACATTCTACACTGAATCTTTTAGTTTTCAAGCCATTCAGTACTTATCTTCAGGCTGTCAATATTATTATAATTATTAATGGCTTTTTCAATATTATATTTTGGTACAATATAGAATTCTCAGAACGAGGTATTTCAACAAGTTTCTTTTACCAAAACGGAAAAAGGGAAAAGAAAAAGGTGAAAGAAAAGGTCTGAGTCTGTACAACTTTTCATTTAGAAACAGGTTTAAGAATACAGGTTATTGACTAGGTCAACTCTAACAACCTGTTCGTCACAGAGTATATTCGGTAGTTATGATATTGTAGAAGTTATAAAAGGAGAAAGATATGAATTAAGGGGATGGTAAGTATCTGATAAGATAACACTTTCCCGGAGTTTGCAAGACTTTAGATGTCTATCTACAACCATATTAATAATGACCTCAAAGGATTCACCACACACCATGCTAACTGCCTTCAGCATTCTCCGCAACACTAAAATGTCTTTCCTCAAAAGCCCGGGAAAAAATGGAGAACAGTAAAGAATAATAAGTAATATGCAAGAATTGACAGATTGTAAGCGTAAATGTCGAGTAATACCAAAAGCAGGCAGCCTCTTTATTTAGTAAGTCAGACGAAAAACTTTCTTAGATAACAGTAAAACATGAGAAGACCAAGAGAGATGAGAGAAAAAAGGTAACACCAAGATAATTGACCTTCGACACTGTTTACCAAAGAGTCTCCAATGGCATAAGCCTTATGGGATCCCAACATGGTGTTTAGATGCTGTTCACGTCTCAGGCTAAAGTTAATAGCTTGACATTTAGACGGATTAAGTATGAGACCATTAACAACAGACTAACAATCAATACGAGACAAAGCTCATTCATTTCTTTGGAATTTAAAGAGACAGAAATCGGCATTCATGCAGTGAGATCATCCGCATATTTCAAAAAAAGTGTTTTCTGTGGAAGATGGCAGATCATACATAAAAAGGCGAAAAGAAGAGGTGAAAGAACGGCTCTTTGTGGTACACCTTCATGAGACAGCAGATACGCTAAACCCTTTCCCCCAAACACAGCGTACTGTTCTCTTCCAGAGAGGTAGGAACATATCCAATTATTTATCCAGATGTTAGTGTTGACGCTGATTAACTTGTTAGGTAAAAGTTGTCTTGAGATAGAGTCAAAGGCAGAAGTATAGTCCAGAAAAGCGCATCAAACATACTTCTTACCCTTTTCCAAGCTGAACTCTATCTTGTGATGCAGAACAGCAACGGCATCTGGGGTGCTTCTTTTGTATTTGTGAGCAAACTTATACGGATCAATGTGCTCTTTTATTGCAGGTTGGAGTGGGAGTATCAATAATTTTTCTATTGTTTTGATGAAAGATGAAGTTATTGCTATGGGTCTAAATTTCACATTCTTATCACTAGATAGTTTCTTAGGTATAGGGATTATCTTTCTCCATATTTTCAGTATGAGATTAGTTGAGAAGGATCTGTTAATCATACTAGTGAATAAATAACATAGAACGTCAGCACATTTTTAAAAAAAGGAGGTTTGGGTTACCATCAAATCCTAAACATTAGGATAAATCTAGAGAATTATGATAATGAATGAACCTACGTTAAATCTGTCCAGTAACCTTTCATCAGAAAGTAACAAATCACAGACTTTTCACCACTCTGTTTCGTCTCATCAGTCTCAACGTCATCATTAATCATCTGGTATAACAATTACTTGAGTAAAACTTATAAAACACATTTAACACAACAGGGAAGATGCTATCGAATGAGATCAGTTGTCAAGACATCTATCCAACATACTATACACAATTACTATCTGACAACTACTCAAAAAAATGTTATCATTGTTCATAAGCTATCTTTATTAGACATTCATGTCTGAGCATCATAGAGATCTATCAAAAATCCTTGATTTAAATGTAGGAGCCTTTATTTAGTTTAATAATAATGCTTAGAATTGTAAACATAATATGGTTTTCAAAATATAAATAGAATTAACGTACGATTTATTGGTTGTTTTTTTTTTCACATATTTCTCCTTTTTTTATTGCGTAATAACGTAAACAACTTACTTTTGATAAACAATATGATTATAGCCAATATACACACTTTGTACTTTGTAATTATAAATCTTGTAAGAAAAAAAATATTTATTATTCACTACATTTATGCTTAATTACTTGACTAATGTAAATAAATTTCAAAGTGTCAAAATATACAACTTTGTATCTACTTCATGTAGGTTTAATTTGATACATTAAGATCACCTGTCATTTTTCCCAAAGGAAATTTATTTTCACAGCCCTTTCATTAATATGTTGTTTATATTGGGAATTTCGTGCTTATTCCTTTATTCTAGCACTGATAAAGATGAAACTGTTGGTTAATATTATTATGCGTTATCTAGTGGTAGTGTGGTGCGGCTTACTTATATCCACATAAGCAGTATATAACGGTAGTCAGGAATAGAAGGTATTTCAGTAGAAGTTCGAGAAGGAAAGAACGGAAACGGAACGCAATTGGTATGAAAATGCATAAACAATTAAATCTGAGACGATAGACTGATTTTTGCAAAAGGAACAGGCAACTTTGAAACGATGGATTGATATTTTGCAAATAACCTATTTACAGTATAACGCTGTAAGCTATGATGGATAGGACGCGCGTTTCGTCCTATCTGGAGCTCGTCAGCTGGATGTACCTGCGTCACAGAGCTCATGTTCACTCTGGGACTCGGACCCAGTTCCATTCGCTTCAAACGCCATCGCGTTCTCCACTCAGCTGCCCGTCATGACAGACATTCGCGTGTGCAATGGGGTGAAATTAAAAACACTTGGTACATATCGCCTTGTAACAGACTGATAAACTGCAGTCTTAAAAATTAATGGGAAGATAGAAGTAAAAAACACCAAGTGTATTTACAGTAAAGTCCTTAGATTTTATTGAGATGCTTTGTAATTTCTTCTCAAATACACTCGATTGTCCCCATTTGTGTTCTCGTTCACTATGGTGGGATGTAGAACTTGTATTTCACACTATATAAGATTTCTAACTTTAGCTTAATTGTATTCTACAGTGCTAAATAAATGTTGATGAATGAATAAAATTTAGCTGTCATAGTTTATTATTTTAAGTGGACAGTTTCCCCAGAGTATGAAGTAGTGTGTTGATTACTAATATTAGTGGAAACGACGGGATAAGGATACAGTTTTGCGATAAATTTTAAAAGACTAATGCATAGTCTTTACTGAATACTGTTACAATATAATCAATATTCAAATCAAGTCTTTAATATGAATGAATGTGAATACCTATAATAGGATGGAACGGATGTTTGGTGCTTCCTGGTTTGTCGTGGTATTGTGACTATGGTCAGTTTGTGATAAAAACTATGGAAATATGCATTTTCAAATAAATTAGTTTGATTCCTTACGTTACTTCTATACTTCGTTCATCAGATTTCGTGGTTTGAAAACGATGATAATTTTTCTGATTCAACTTTCTCGAATAGCTCAAGGTAAAAATGGATCTTATTTCGATACGGATTAGCGTAATCACGAAACAATTGATTTAGAAAGGAACTTGATTTCATTCAATCATTCAAAACAACTTTTATTCATGTCATAATTATATTGATGGCTTAGTTTTTAGTAAAAAGTTAAGAATAGAATACCTGGATCACTATATCAGCCAGCGATATTAACAAATTTAGATCTACAATTAATGACAAAACGTACTATATTTTATAAACTTATAAGTCATGAAAAACATTGATCTGTATGCACTATGAATGGAACAAAGTTGTGCTTCGTCAATCTTGAGCATAATCCTTACAATTTAATCTGAAAGCCTGTCTGAAATTACAAGTGATTAATCACTGAGAAGTGACTAGTTCCATGTCTTTCAAGTCCATCTTAATGCTGATCGAATTCTATCGATTAAGTTGCAATGTGGCCATTACTTCAGGTAACTCGACATCGTATGCACCATGTTGAGATGTAAATTGGGGGTAACATCTTTGAATGTGAAGTTGGGTGACAAGAGATCAAATACTTCCAGAGAGCATTAGATCCCCAAAGATTACAGGTATACCCTTCTAACTAGTGTCAAACAGCATGGAACCTAGATCCAGGGTCTTCTGTTGACTACCTTCAACAGCTACCTGAAGATGACTGAATTTTAAATTGTCACTTTTAGGTTGTTGTATTACAAAATACAGAATTTTTGCTGCTTACACCACTGACAGCCACCGAAAATGTGGAAAAATTAGATAGATATGCTATCCCAACACAGCATTCCTCAGCAATCCGTATTCCCGACCCTATCAGGGACCAAACTCATGACCTTCGGTCTCACGACGGACACCTAACCTCCAGGCCATTAAGCCAGCATGTAATATTGAGAGACCATAGAAATAGTGATCATGATTTAGTTGATTTTTAACCACTTATTTTTGATGTTCACGATCTCTTCATAATTTACTTAAACAAATTGTGTAGGGTGTACTGGATCAACACATTATATATTCTTTTACAATCTGATGACTGCTGAATTAGAATAGGACACCTGTCCAGTACTATGTGATGACAGTTTGTCATGAAAAATGTTTTCACATTGCGAAAAACTTGCGAAAATCCGAGAGTAAATTATGCAGTATTTTTGTAACATTGTAACCATCAGAATGTTAGTTTAGTTCCATTTGACCTCATTATTTATCAGATGAATGGTTCTGATGAATATAATCATGTACTTACAATGTTTCTTATAAATATTTATTTTAAAAGTAGACAGAGGTCATTTAGAAAGTTTAAATTCAAATACATGAAATGGGCCGAAAATCAAAAATATTGTGCAACCTCTGTATATGTGCAACGACTAAGTCATATTTAACGTTCGTTTAGACATGTAGTGATATGAGTGAATGTCCCAACAACCATAAACTTTGCGAAACTAAACGATCAATTTTTAACAAATTATTACGGAAGAACACTTTCACTTATGACCTGTATCAATCAGAATGATATTTCGCAAAGGGAAGTATTTACGAAATACTACACTTTTTAGCTAGAACCATTAGGTTATTAACCGATCACCTGTGCATTGGTATACAGATTAATTACTAAGCAATATCTTGATGTTGTTCCGTTGTATCATCTATTTGGATAAGTATATGGGATTTTTTAGATTTTAGGAGTTTCATAGTCTAACCATTGTATTTCCCGTGAGAATCTGTGAGTATTGGAGTTTGTTACGTGTTGGGTGTGAGATACTGATCTACCGTAATCAACGGATAACGGCTGCGAGATCGTGGATATACACTTCTGTGGGATGGAACGACCTTCCAGAGCATTCATTTGTATGGGATTTGATTTATACGAAATAAAATGAATTCACTTTATTATACAATGTTCGTTATTTTTGTTTCACAAAACATTTCGCCATTGTACACATTTAAATGTTCCAGATTGCAGAAAATTCCTTTGACTGTGTTGTTTTTGGGATGAGCAACTTGAAGGGAAGCAAATAATATAGTTGAGTGACGATTACTCACAAATCTGAATTATGAAAGTGAGTAGTCGACAGTAAACGGATTTTTAAAATATTATTTCGTCAGCAAGACATAAATTGTGTTACATGACAAAACGACATACTTATACATTAAAATGTATAGCGTAAAAACAAACAAGATTAAAATTCATTGAAAAAAAAATAACCACAAGATTCAGATTCTTACATAATTTACACGTGTATAAGATTAAAGCATGATCATTAAGCCTACTTATTCCCTACTATATTAAGACCAATAGTTATTATGAAAAGCATCTGTGGAGCAGTATATTCCTGAATTTTGATTTTACTGTTATTTGAAATGAACAGAAGTCATATTACTTTAAATACTGAAAGGTTTTTTGTCGATTAATCATTTTGTTGAGCTTCCTTAAGTCATTAAATTCCTCGAGCCATTTTCGACTGTAAACTTTGTTTTCACTATGATTATCATAGATTAGATTTGAAAGAATACATTGTATTTTGACTAGCATACTATTAAAAACATAGTGACCAATAGTTTATTGTGTTTGTTGACTGGTCTACTATAGTAAATTGATAACAATACTTTCATATAAATTCAGTTACTAGATTCAATAAGTGATGAATACATTAAAAGTTATTGAGTTCATCCGTTTAAATAATTTTGAAAATCTACCTCAAAACTAGCGATTTATAAGTAAACTATCATTTTTTTATAGTGGTTTCATAAAAATGAAATATAATGTGAAAATAATTTTCATTGAGAAAGATTGCTCCACGTGTCCCGTTTGAATTAAATGAACTAAAATAGAACTGTTAACAGTTTTAACTACATCTTTGACTAACCACACTGGGAGGTGCTCACGAGCCCGAATATAGAAATTCCTAGAACATCTACCTATATGTTATGTTTCGTTATTGCTTGAATGCGATTACTGATGCGTCTTACTCGAACGAAACGAAGGATCAATGATTCAGCGACTCGATAGCCTATTCTGGTTTGTTGTCCCCAACTCTGCTAACTCGATCAAGAAGTCTGGGTAAGGTGTAGAAAGTGTACTCTACAGACAAACAGCAGATAACAAGTCAAGCACACAAATCAAGTGTATTTATACAAATATTTACAATCGATATAGTCATGGAAGATTTTTGAACATTAATCAACAATTGACTGCTATTTGAACATTTAATCGATAGTTCATCCATTGACCTATTTGTACATTTAATCGATAGTTCATCAATTGCCCTATTTGCGCATTTAATCGATAATTCATCAATTGACCCCAATAAAAATATCTAACATTTAATCGATAAGATAAAATTTAAAAATATGAGTTTGGGGATCTATCGTCCCCAACACTATATAACTTGCTCCATAGAGGCAGTTGAATTGATAGACGTAGAAAGTGACTAATCTAGACAATTTATCTTTGAATATTGGAGTGATCAATGGACATGTGGAAAACACTAATTGTAGCTTACCTGAATTAAAAGTTCTTTGAATTGACCTATTAAAAAGAATTCAACGAATGTTTCATTTCATTTCCTTGAAAGAAGTATCCGAGACTAAGAAAGGTTATTATTTATATCATCATTATTATTTTTTTATTGAGTCAATCTTAAAAACTATTTCTAAGAATAATTAATATTTAAAAATAAAAAATAATCACATGGGTGGCAGTTTATGTTGGATATTGTGTAATGGTATCATAAATTGTTATTTATATAGAAGACTTATAATGATATTATCGATAGAAAATTGTTTTTTTAATAAATAAATCGTTGGAAAAGAAAATATTCCCAGATTACATAATGATCACAATAAAATGGTAAACGTTTCTTTTTTTTTCAGAAATGTTTCATACTATTTTAAATGACATTAATAGTAGTAGTTAGCATTAAATTGTTTCCATTGATTTTAATACTTTAACATTGCCTAATGCTTCTGTTACAATTATTCGTTTACGTTGTATATCTGTAGTAATAGCCATTGGATGCCATATTGAATGTGTACCCTTTTCAGCAATCGGTTTCAATGAAGATAAATTAATAGAAGTGATTTTATGTCCATTAACATGGATTTGATTCAATCCATTGGTTTGTTTTGTTGATCTATTGAAGTCATTTGTCAGAATAGTATTATCATTTTCATTGATATGTTTAATTTGACATGATTGTATACGGTGATTAACATGATCAGCAATTAGAAATGATCTAGTCCATGGAGCATAGCATATTCCATAAGGTTGTAAAATCTTTACAGAATAAAAATGATAAAAGAATACAACATAAAGAGCCAAGTAAAACATTGAAGAGATCAATAAATTATTACTTATAAAAAGTTTTAAAGATTTTAAAATGTATTTTAATGCATTGAATTGCTGTATGTATAGATCAGTACAAACTATTAGCATTAAAGTGTTGAAATTCTACATTTTATTCTGTTAAGTAATTACAAACGTAATTTGCTTCTTTGTTTCTTATTGTTTTATCATTACAATCCTCCTTTAAAGGTAATATATTTGTTCAGAGGAGTTAAGTTCTTCATTTATAATTAGTTTCACTTGATATATTATTATTATTATCTGTATATTTGATTTTTAGAAACAAAAATTCCAACGTAAAATCTTTGCTTCATGGTATTTAAGTTTATTTTATTCAATTCTTAAAGTTGGTCAAGTTTTATAGATTACGTTGCTATATGAACATTATCTTAAGTGACTAGTTTAAAAAAAACGCCATGTATTGGATGATTTTGAAGAAATTAGTGGTAGTTTCCAACATGAAGTCATATTAACTAGAGAAGGATTGAGAACTAGAGTGTTCTAGATAACTAACCTGTCAAAGCGTTTAAAAATTTAGTATAATTTATCAAGTGAACTTACTTCCATGCATCACACTAAATATCAGCTTTCATGATCGTAATCATAAATACTGTTTACTTAGTACGTATTTTTACTTAAATAATGCAGTAGTTTGGGATCGTTCATTTATTGTAAATCAAATAATGAGATATAAATCTGGAGTTACTGTTTAAACTATACTTTTTAATATCTACAAAGACAGAAAAATAATATCAGAAGGGGGGTTTTGTGGATATTATAGTAATTTCAGCAGTTGAGATGATGAGTCAATTGAAACTAGACCAACATGGAAAACTTGAAAGCACTGGATAGCCTTTTCGTTCTATTATGGGATTCCTCAGCAGTGAGCATCCACGATACCCCCTCGCGAGATTCGAACCCAGGACCTATCAGTCTCGCAGTCTCTAAACCACTGAGCCAGCATCCAACAGTGTTAGTGACTAACCTCAACCAATAAACATAATTGCGTGACACATCCACCATTGTCTTCAGTGAGTGGAGATAGATCCTCAAATCTAGTGACTGGCTTCAAGAGGTATTTCCTGGAGTTCTAGTGATAAGCAGTGATCAGTGGAGTTCAACCGGGTCTGTTGTGAGTTAGTAACTCACTGAAGACAATGGTGGACCGATCAGTCCTGGGTTCAAATCTCGCGAGGTTGGATCATGGTTGCTCACTGCTGAGGAGTCCCACAATAGGACGGAATGGCCGTCCAGTACTTCCAGGTTTTCCATGATGGTCTAGCTTCAATTGACTCATGATTTCAACTATTGATATTATAATAATTTTAATAATTGAGATCATGAATCAATTGAAGCTAGACCACCATGGAAAGCCTGGAAGCACTGGACTGATGGAAAAATAACTAAATAAATTTTTCTATATTTTACGATCAGTATCATTGTGTTTTGCGACACAAACCAATATCAATAATCTAAAAAACTGTTGGAATATTGTTGATTGATCTACTGGTATACATATCAGCAATGGCACTTAACGATGACTTAGATAGACGACAATTTAAGGATGTTAATCTGTTGTTTGTGTTAAAATCAACAATCAAGAGTTAATCTGGTCTGAAGACTGTGCACATGAACAAATTGAGAGGGCAACAAACTTGTTATGTTAGATCAAGTTCTGTCTTAATGATGGTGACTAAAAGTATACGGAAATGTTCATTCACTGATGGCCGTTAGCTACCACTTACTTATTCACAGTACAGATATTATGTTCAGTTGAAAATCAAATGTATTTAGGGTCAAAACGGAGATGTTTTGGTAAATTATTTATTTATTATCTTCGTATTCTGAATATATGACCCATAAAGTTTATGATCAAATACTTGATTTGTTTTTAACATATCGGATTTGATCGTTCTGTCATGTGATCGAAAATACAAAGGAACAACCTTGAAAATGAAAGCAAATAAATGTTTTGTTGACATGTACAACCAATCATGGTTCACTTATATAAATGGTAGGCGAATTTTAGAACATATGACGTATATCCACCTGATAACTTATTTATTGCATTCTATTGTTTGTTTTATTTTGCAACCTTGAACTAGTCATATTTACCTTGAATAAGAAAGATTGTTTCAACGAAGAGTTCCCTTTTGTGTGGATTTATTTCAAAAGCTGTACAATCGCAAATATATATACTTAATTTTCAGGATGATAATTACAATAATAATGTTAATAAACTTCTGTTACACATGGTAACAGTGAAGTAGAATAAACAAAGGTATTCAAAAAAATTTAAACTGGGAAACTAATAACAGTTTGATTGTTACCGGCTTAAATGTTCATCATAAAAACAGAAAGGGTTGGCTCATCATGATAAGATGAAATGTTGAGATTGAGATGAGATGTAATCATGAGGATAATGGAAACAGAAATAAACCAGTTGGGGGGGTAGAAGGTTTAAGGAGAAGATGGAAGGAGAAGCAGGTGGCTGTAAAGAAAGAAGAGTTTGAAGAAAAAATAAGAAAAAATTATAAGACATTAAGACCATGGTAGAAGAAGAGGTTGTACCAATCTCTTCTGGACACGTAACTCTGGTTTCCCCAGATATATGGCTATCGCTCCGGCAACGTTAAGAAGATGCAATATGACTGCCTTTGGAAGATTTCTACTTACATTGTAGATGACTTTGAACGCAGAGTTCGTTTTGATTGAGTGACCTGTGTTCACAAGGTGTTCGAATATTGAACTTCTTATTGAGCCGTTTGTAATTATCATCCTGAAAAACAAGTATGTATTCGCGATTGTGCAGCTTCGAAAATGAATTCGCCGAAAAGAGAACTCTTTGCTGAACCAATCTTTCTTATTTAATGTCTCAATGAGTGTATTCCGTTTACTAAAAAATATATTTACCTTGATCAGTAACTAAAATGAATGCTATCATGTGTGCTTACCGTTTGGTTAAAATGAGCTGAGGTCAATGTATGCGTCTCCTCAGCAACTTCGCTAAAATATAAATCAAATAATCTGTTGGCTGGTTTATTTGAAGGAGGACAAAGATATTTATTTCATGGAGAGTAAGAACCGAATTGTTTAGCTCGATAGAATAAGATTTTACTTGTAAAATAATGATTCAAACAGAAGTTTTGAAAAATAATCGACAGCCTATTTACTTAGTGAAATGGCTTTAAGATTATTCTAAGTGGTTCTGTCCAAATTATCTGTAGTCTTCTGAATGTACTTTTCATTTTGAATTGATTTCAGGTAGCGAATTGGTTCTTAGTAAAGAATATCTTCAGATTAAACTGTGTTCCCATGAAACCACTTCATTAAATATACGTGTACTCAGTGGCTATTTTTTATGTGGAAAACTATAACCTGTGGTCTCAGCCATGTTGTCATTGGGGTAATGGGTCAATGATGAAATTGGTTAAGGACTATACCACGAATTTATTAAATCTTAAAATATGAACTACTGGATTTCGATTTAGTAGTGTGAGAATCTTATCCTTACGATTAGATAGGTATGAATAAGTACACTTTAACCTACAGGAATTTTGTATCCATTACGATTTGCTCCGCACACTGCCTATAAGTAGCCAGATTATTTAGCGCAACTTTTTGGAATGTATTTACGATTTCACCAGAAAGTGATCTATTATTGAAGGTTGATGTTAAGCTACTTTTGGGCGTTTATTGTAAGATATCCAAATTCATTTCTTCTAATCTGTACACATTGATTTAGAATTCAAGCAATATTTATCCGACATATAGGTGACTGCTTCGCCATCACTTTTTTCGTTTATTTCACATAAGCCTTAGGTGTTTTAAATGTGAAATAAACAAAGTCTTATTACTTCCCATCCTGAAGCTTTTCATAGACATTAAAATCTGATATCTTATAGTATTCTTCAACATCCATAATTCTTGAGTGGGGCCTAAAATATCTAGATTCTACTGTTCAAAGCTACTGATGACTTATAAGTACTTTTACGAAATGTAATTTACTTATTTGAAGCCCTACTAACAGTAAATTTCACCAGAGAAATAACGAATGAGAAAAACAACTAACATTTTAACCATAATATTGAAAATATCGGTTGAAACAAGAATTTTTGGAGTGTATACTTGGAAGAGAAACTATTCGAAATGAATTTCACCATCCCTATGATTGAAAAAATAATGAATATATACAAATGATAGGAGAAAAAAACTTCTACCTTACATAAAATCAATGAAGATTATTACATTTCCTGTGATTAGTTATTTTTACTCCTATGAAATCCTAATTCACCATGGAAGGTTTATGGTGATTGTTGTATTTCTATAAATTACATGATGCATCGATCTTAGTTAGACAACCATTGAGAAGCAGGAAGGACTAAACACCTATGGAGGAGGTTGTGTATCCTCACCGATGAGAAGTGGTTAAGCATATAGAATTATCTACCCATTATTTTTTAATTTGATAAAACCAGAATTAGATGGTGATCATTAAACATTTTTCTGATTGGTTTTTCTTTTTGAAGACAAAATGCGTGACTGATCAAAGCGACTCCACTAAAATTTCTTAATGTAATTGATAACATCACTTAATAAAACAAATGTACAGAATATGTTGTAATTCAACGTTAGTGTTTTCACAAGATTTTTAAATGGCTACTAGGAGGACCTACTCAAATTTCCAACCATCAGCGGGAAATTCAAACAATCTGTAGTTTATTATGCAAAATTTAACACAATGAAGATGAACAAGAAATCTAAAGTTAAATAACCTTATAGAAAATTATTTTCATGTGAAGCAGAATTCTATATCAGTATACTAATATGTGGTTACCTAAAGGATTTAACTTTCTGTAAAGTTAACTGGTTATATATGTTAAGAAAATTGATTAAAATTCGCCCACCTAGTGTGTTATTATTGGTTAACGTGCTATTATGGAAGAGAATACCTCCTGCTTATGATGTTCATCATGAAGCAAAACGAATCGAGTATTCAATAAAACTAGAAAATACTGAATAAATGTTTTGTCTTGACTCGAAACATTTGACTATTTAGTTCAACTACATCAAATTGGGGTCAAACATACAACCGTTTGGTCCTGAATTCGATCTATTTATCCCGTACGACAATGGTTAGTCGCTTCTCTTGATAAACTAGGAACAATACTGATTTTATGAAGAATTCAAAATCGAATACAATTTGTCACGTAATGAGTAACTTTGAAAATAAGTTAACATTATAGGTAGTTAAGAACATAACTCTTATTTGATAGGGGAGAATATCTAACAGTATGTTAGATAAACATGATCTTAAATAACCATTTATATAAAAGATCCACATACTGGAATATCACCATCAAATATTTATGTAAAAATGATATTTTACTGATCCATTTTTTAATAGGTGTACAAATTAATAAAACTGTAAAAGTATGGGAACATTTAAAGAATTAATCAGGATCATAAAAATAATCAAAAAGTATCATGATATGGAGTCATACAGACAAGTTGCCCTGTCTAAGTCGCTTCGAGATCTAGTCATAAAAATCAATAATGAAGGTAAACAAATTTATCAGCTACATATAATAGTATATATATAATAGATTTTCCAAGTGTCCAAACTGATTTAACGTGTATTTATATAATTTTTGACTGTTTTATGACTGCCATTTACTGTACAATGAAAATGGTGGGAGAAAAAGAGAGGGTTGTAAAGTAATACATGTTATAACTGAGTGATTATCTAGGAAAATCAATATTTCTTTCTTACTAGAATAAAAGTATGTCAGAAAAAATTGTTCAGGGAATAAATATTCGCATATATATCCTCACTGATAAGTGAAAAGCAGGAAAAGTTTCGATATTTTTTACATAAATCATAAACAGTTGACTGTGTTTCAAAATGAAGTGATCATTTACTACATCTGTAATCACCATGTGTGTGTGCGTAGATACGAATATATGTGTATATGGCTTAATAAAGGTGCAGTATTCATGGAATTTCCTTTTGAACATGAGCTGTCAAGAAATGGTACATAAACTTTTCTTACAAATTAACGTCATTCTTGGGAAAAAAGTTATGTTATAAAAGCAATATTCCTAGTACTTTTTCAAATAATTGTCTGTGAAAAAGGTTTACATTTTTGAAACGTTGATTTTTAGGCAGTAATAGGTAAAATTGTAGACTACATACAAAGTAAAATCAGTAATATACACCATCTTGTATAGAACTGAGACCAGGAAACTTTCTAAAACAACCTAATTTTTATCAAGCTTTGAATCAATTATAGACTACAGTGAAGATCTACACAGTTCAGTAATTTACAAAACCAATAATAAATAAAGTTAATCATCTATGACATTTTACAATACACAATTAAAAATGAAAAAGGATAGAAATTTCTTGGAATAGGCTGTATGTTTTGTAAGTGAACACAAAATAGGGGGAATTCTAGCTACATGAGGCCTTATAATATACAGAAAATTGAAATTTTAATCGCTACTTTACACGAAATGAATAATCGGACCACTGTTTCATCACTCTATATGGCTCTTGAACATCACACTAAAACCGGTCCAACTCAGAAGTTTCAGACCTCACAATAAGTGCAGTAACATATAACACCCTATACAAAAGTCCATTATTTGAGTTTTCCCAACTTTAGTCACTATTTAACATAACATATCTTTCATCACTCTTAATAGTGAACATTCGTCTACATTCTTGACATTTTTAACCTGATCAATGTTAACTCTTTACTAGAAAACCCATGTGAAAACAAATTACTAATGAGGATTAGGTCATTATTTTGATAAAACGGTTAATTTATTTAGGATTAAGTTAGTGATAACTATTTTTCCACAGTTTAAAGGAAATAAACATTAACATTTTAAAGTAGTAGTTATGTCACAGAAATCCTTATTTAACAAAACTAACAGTATTCATCGTATTAACCTCCTATGTAAAATAAAATTTACATATTATGAAAGTTATAATAGTAGATATTTATCCCAATATGATGTTCTTAAGTGATTTTTTTAACGATAAATGTCTCACTATCAATGTGCACATTGCCTACTCAGTTGATAATCGCATTCGAGTGAAGAAAACTCATTTTTCCATACGTAGATTATAAATTTAGAAATGAGATGAAGATGAAGATTTCAGGCTTCATACTTAATATGCATATTTACAATCAGTATGAATAGTTCAGTGATAAAAGCTATTGCATCCTATCTACTTTTACCAACTTGTTTGTCTACAACTGCAATGAATTGTGAATGGAAATTTAATTAGAAATCATTGTTGATAAATTTCATTTCTTCCAAAGTAACCTAACTGACCGAAACGTTTAGTTTCGGGAAGTTCCATTAATCTTTTTTACCGATTTGAAATGTCACCAGAGATTTGGAATTCATTATCGAAAAAAAACACGCAACTAATAAATAATATGGTATTATGAACATACATTGTCATTTGTTGTACCATAACCACCTATAGAAGATAGAAAAGAACCAGTCTTTAATGAGTACAACTTGACACTTGGAGCAGCCCAATCAGTAACACCTAAGCATCCTCCACCATCATCAACAAATTCAACATAATACGGTTCAGTAAGCGCAGTTCGACTGTTAAAAATAAATTTGTTTGAATTATCTTCTTCTCCAACTAATGCTTTATCAACAGGTATTTGATGTACTGGTGAATTAGTATCACAGCGGATGTCATAAAGACTAATATGATGACGTCGACTTTCAACAACAGCCAATAATCCAATACCATAACATACTCCACGTGGATGTTTAAGTTTATTTTTTGTTAATGTACCCTGTGAACGTCCATCGAAGCTGAATAGTCGAATCTTTATGAGGAATAAAGAAAAAAGTTTAATTTATTGTACATACCGTAGAAAATAATAAAAAAACTTATTCAAGCAGTTTTATAGTTGAATATGTTTATCAATAAGTAAAGATAATTAATCTTATCCGCCTTGTAAATAATTTGAAAACAAATAATGAAGTACCTAGTTTCTGGTCACTAGAAGTAATACCTATGAATTTCAGCTTTATCTAAGTATCATACCAAATAGAGTCTAGAAAGAAGTACTAAAGACTTTGATAAAACCCATTTTTCCCTAAAGAGTATAACTCATTCCGCCACATAAAACAGATTTCAAACTAATTACTATCCAATTCACTAAACCAAGTTCATTAAAGAGATTTTATTAAAAACCTCATGTGTTAAGGACAAATAGACAATTATAATATCTATGAATTAGTTAATAAATATAAGATCAATCATTCACTGGAATAGAAATCAAAACTAATTCAATAATTTATACGCATGTTTAAATACAAACAGATTCTAAACATTTTCATATAATTTTAATAGTTGAGATCATGAGTCAATTGAAGCTAGACCATCATGGAAAACCTGGAATTACTGGATGACCGTTTCGTCTTATTGTGGGAATCTTCAGCAGTGAGCACCCACGACCCCGCCTGGAGGAATTCGAACCCAGGACTTATCGGTCTCTCGCGCGAACGTTTAACCTCTAAACCACTGAGACAGCATCCGACAGTGTTAATATCTAGCTTCAACTAATCCACGAAATTGAGTGACACATCCACTATTGTCTTCAGTGAGTTACGGACTCACAACAGACCCGGTTGAACTCCACTGATCACTGTTTCTCACTAGAACTCTAGGAAATTTCTCTTGAAGCCAGTCACTAGTTTGTGAAACATATATTTGAAGTAATCTTAACATTTCATTTAGCAAATAAATTATGTCTTCTATATACTGAGAGCCTAATTTCTGTTAGACTATTCAGTCAAATATTGACTAATATTTGTATAAATTTTCATTCTATTTTCATCTTGATCAGTATAGTGAAATAGGTTAAGCAACTGTTAACTCGACAATATAAAAATTTTACTTTTATCAACTATTCAATTTTAATAACTTTGACTGTATCCAATTTTTACATACACTAAGGTATGATTTCGAGACATTTATGTTAATATGTTTATGATAGACTTAAACTTATAACAAGTGAATATAATTTAGTGAACCATTTAAATGAATACTTATATGTATTACTTGTGTTGATCTCAAATGTATATTCTCCGTGAAAACTTAAAACGATTATTATTAATAAAATGAACCTTCAGATTTGGTCTATATAAATTCATTTTAAAATTTAATTATATTCTCAAACAGCAATTATCATAAATACTATGCTTTGTAGTGTCGGTTACTATGTTATGCACATATAACTTATTCTAGTTTCTGGACAGGCCAATTTATCCATTATTCTAGAGTCACGTTTTGACCTTGTTAATTATTCACTTATTAACCATGACTGCTTTTATATGAGTCGATATAAGTGTACATCTTATCCTACTCATCACATGTCTGTAACCTATTTTTATCTGACTATAAATATCGATTAATGCTTGGTTAAATCGAGTTGGCTCACACGCGTTCTCCACTGCGCGTCATTTCTCTTCGCTTCTTTTCTCTGGTTATCTGTTCACATCAACGATTGTATAAAATATTTGTATTCGAAATCCCTTCTCGTATTTGACTTATTTAATTCCGTTATTCACCAGCGTGGATTAAGTCGATAATAATATACAAGAATAGTAAGGATGTATATTTTGACAGCAATCATTCATACGACCTAACTGGAGTCAGATCCCCGGCCATTAAATTGGTGAGCTCGTCGAAAACATCGTGCGGTCTAATTAACGTCAAAATGAAGGGCCACTAAAGCTTTTGTTTTAGGTTGTTAAGTTCAATCAACAAGAAACCGTAAACTGAAGCTTCATTAATGCCAATGATTTTTCTGTAAGTAATGTCTACAAAATGTTAAAAAGTTTCAAGTTTTCTCTGAAACGGAAAAATTAGTCCATTGGTTTATTAATCATTAATATATGTCTACATTTACTGAAATCGAATACATAAAGACTACAATCAAGCTAATATCCTACCTCATCTCGTTGATAGTCTGATACAAATATAATTCCCCGACTGGATGATAGTGTAATGTCAAATGGACTTATAAGTCGGTCAGTCATTTCACCTGTATCACCTAAACTTGAAATAAATGTTCCATCATGGGTAAAAAGCTTTGAAATAAACAAGAAATATAGAGAAAAATGATTAAAATATATCAAACTGTTTATTAATGTGGAATGATATATTCAACATGGGAAGTTATTTGATCGTTTTTATTTCACTAGAGAAAATCTGTGAGGAGATTAGAAGAAAAAGTTGTTCAACGAATTGTCTAAATGGAATTTCTTTTTTTAAAGGCTATCAACATTTTTTTTTCTCAAAACAACTTAACTAAACGGTATTGGAGAAATTAGTTGTCTGTTATATGGTTAAATACAACTATACCAATAAAGTAATATTGATATGAAAATGTTACCGAACATAGAGAAACTGACAAGAATCCATAAGCTCTGAGTCAATGTTTTTCAGTATTTCTCAATTATAAATGTCGACAAAACCTAAGGTAAATCTTTAGGATTGTGTTCATTTCGCCAATAGTTTGTTTTCCTAGTAATTGGACAACTGATTTTAAGTATATAATAAAAAGCATAGTTATCAGTATCATTCAAAATGATGAAGTTACTGTGCATACATTTCATCAGTATTGAAACACAAATAACTGCTCCTAGTTATAGTGAGCTTTTTAGTGTTAGAGCTGTTTTGCAATAGTGTCATAAAACTAAATTTCTCATAATACATCAATAAACGAAATTCTACTTTTTGCAAAGTGATGGTTAATAACTATGAGACAATTTACACAAGTCACCAAAACAAGCCATTGGCGTTTGATAGTGTAAAATCTAATGATACGTTCATAGTTTAATTGTGATAATTTAATCGGTCGTCTTCCAATTTGAATTAACCAAAAATAGGTAAAATATACTTTGCTTTGCTATCTACTGATAACTTTAAATCTCCCTAACTGTATAGTTAAGTAGGCAGCTGATTACCTAGTTCTAGTGAGTAGATACAAACAAGTTATAATCTCACATATACAAGATAAAGTTCTGAAGTTTGTCCCCTATTTATCAGACACTTTAATCATAAAAAATTTTCTTATTTTTTAGTGGGAAGTTTAAAATATAAGCTGTTAGCAACATCTATCTTAGGAAACGTTAGTTTAAACTAATACTACATGTTCAGAATTAAACATATGTTCATTTTACTTGGTAGATATATATATATATATACTGCCGACTAAACGAAGTAAACAGTTAGGTGAAGAAAGTGACCTATATTAAGCTAACTGTTTAGTAGTGAACTTACTGACCATGCACTGAATTATATTAAGTTTTTAAATTGAAATTATCTATACAACATAACTGATCATCTGTTTTAAACAAACCAACATATTATCAATTGAATAAATAATTTGAAATTTTCCTACAAAAGTAGATGGCATTGAGTATGCAAAACAAATTATATGAATTTCTGTTATTTACACTTGAAAATATAGCGATAAACAACAAATTAATTCACATTATTGAGGAGTTTCCAGCTGGCCTGTTGCTGTTAAATCTCGTAAACTATGTAACAAGATACCGGTAAAATAGATAAGGTAAAATCGTAAACTTATACCTTGATTCTAGAATTATCTCTATCCACAACATAAATGTCTCCATTCGATTGATTTACAACTAATCCAGTAGGCCAAACATCACGTAAATCAGTACTAACTCTTGCATCAAATTCTAATTCATTGGTTACTTGACATTTGGATAGATTATACTGTTCTTTAATCATTGATTTCTGTTTCATATTATCAGATGTATAACCATTTCTTGGTGTTAAGAAACTTTCATTTGTTTTGAAACGATTACTATATAAAATATAAAATAAGGACATGTATTGTAGATTATTTTGGATTATGCAAAAGACAATAAGATAATGCAATATTACAGTAGATTAGATTTATAAGAGAAGAAATATAGCCTAAAGAAAGATACTTTCAAACATACAAAAGAAATATTTCACTAGTTAATACTTGTTCATCATGGGAATACAATAGTGAAAAATCTCATGTGATGATTAGGTTTTAATAAATTTATTATGAAGTCGTATAAATGAAATTTTTAAGGATCAAATCCCATGAAAAATGTTAACAATAAACAGTCATAAGGACTAAATATTAATAAAATAAATCATACAGTATAAATAATATTGATTACAATAGCACAAGATTGCGTAACGTGTGTGTGTTATTAAGAAAGGGGTGTAAAACTAGTAAACTAACAACGTGTTTTAGTGTGGGTGAAGTAAGCTACCTTTATTAGTCTCGTTAATTATTGCATGACTTTATATTACATTTCTTATTATTACGTTATCTTGGTTATTCATTGTTTACTTTTTCTTATGGGATGTAGACCATCGAAATTTCATTTATACGATTCGATAATAAATCTGTTAAAGAATTTCTTATTGTTGAGTCTGGTGCTGATAATGGTCTTGATGAAAATTATGATATTTATGAATCAGCATTTATTGCAGTGGTTCCATAATTATTTTGATCGGTAGGTGGCATTTATCATGAATTGATCTTAGTTGGGGTACCACAATAAACAAAAAGATATTGGACTGCAGTTTCATTCTGGTTTAAGGTTGCCCAGTAGTGGACCTCTTTGGGTTCACCAGGACTTCTAGGTTTCTTGGTGAGCACTTAACCATTGAGTTGTGATCCAAGGGATATGCGTTCAACTTCAATCAATTTGTGAAATAGCACGGTAATTAACCAATGCTGTTGGTGATTTAATAACTTTACATGAAGACTGGAATATATTCAATTGATTACAGTATCTCACGGCTTGCCAGTAAAAATGAAGGGAAGTGCAAATAAAATTCATCATAATATTTGTTGTCGCACTGAAACCTACAGATGCATCGATAAAGAATTTATCGACATAAAGAGATAGACAATAAAAGTTAAGAGTGTAGCAAAACTATACCTTCTTGGTGCTATATCTGCTTTAATAATACCGGTAATCCCCAAACTCCATCTGACGTTAAATGGTCGGGAGCAATCGATGAAAAGTTTAAAAACTAAAGCTCATATTCATCAGCCGTCATTCCAGACGTATCTCTGGAGAACTAATGTCATCCTTGGGATTTTAATCTGTAGAGTCGAGTTTAATAATCAGAAATGTCATTACTAAGCTCTTTGGGAATGACCTACTATAACCTTATGGATCCCACTTGTTCTCATGGTATAATTTAAAACTATTATTATTATTACTCGGTTACCGATCAACGAGTCACTTGATTCTTTAACATGAAAAAGGTCACTTCCTAGAGTTTATATGTTCACAGCTCCTCGTTGGTTATCTTAATGATCCATAAAATTTCAATAAACTTCATGTTACATACTTAGAACGAATTAATTTATTTCATGACCTAATACTTAATTAAATTAATAAGTAATACATTCAATTTAGAAATAAACAATCATAAATCTCAGTTTAACAAATGAATTCAAGTTGAGGAATAATAAATGTTCGTTTTTTAAATAAACACTTTAGGAAAATGAATTTTTTTCTAGTTTTATTACTGGAGAAATTTCAAGAAATCAAATTTGCTTCATGAGATTGTTCTTTTTCAGCAATTAATGAAATGGGCAGAAAATTAAATAAACACTAGGAATAACTGGTATTAAAATCATACATAGAATAGAACGATTATTACGATCATGATGATTATGACAAAAAACATCTTAAGAAGGGAACATTAGAGATTGGATAACTTTCTGGTTGGTGTACTTTGGAACACGTTTTGTCTTTTCTCAGCATTTCCATTTTTAGGCCGACAAATTAAGTATGAAATTCTAGTCTTCAATCTTTACCGAACAGTCATGCGACTATTATAGAGGCCAGAGCTGATAATATCTAATCTATCTATGTATAACAAAGTACACTAATATTTGGTCTTCAATTTCAGTCCTGTCGACCCTGTTAAATGTTTTCACTAGTCTGAATGAATCAACTATTTTACGTTAAGTAGTTGAATCAGAACAACATGAAACCCATGAGCTTAGATTTTGTGAGTATTTGCTGACAAATGTTAGCTAGCGTGAGACTCAAATTCATGGTTTTCTGTGACCTCTTCTCATCATAGCTAAGAGAACGTAATACGAAAAACAAAAGTAAAATCAACTTACCCTGAAATAAGTAAATTTAATTCATTATCATTATTATTAAATCGATTATCTTCATGATAACTAGTTAATGTTTCTAGCTCTCTTGGACTAGTATTTACACCGACTGATATTTGATCAGGATTTAAGTACATATTACTAAGCTCTAATTTAAGTTCATTTTGTTTATGAATAGCTGAACGATTGATAATTTCATTTTTTGAAAATTCCTCTACAACTTTTTCAGATTCAATACTTCCGAATAAATATGATGAACTGAATGTTTGACCTTTTGTTTCTATCCCATCTTCACAATAACTATAACCGCCATTTTTGAAATATGTTTTTATACGTGCTAATGAGAAAATAAGACAGAAAATAGTGATATGTGATAAATACTCCACGATTATCATCTCAGTCTATATATTCAATAAAATCTATAGAGTAAAAACGTAAGCTGTTCTACATCGAAATACTTTTTGTGAATTTTCACAGTAGTAGAAACTACAAGAAATACTTCATTTATACGCATGATAAGGTTAACAAACGTACAGTTGAACGACATTCACTGTTTTCTGAACTACTTAGGAAATAACTCAGAGGTAGAGTTTTCACTAGAAAGCCAGTAAATTCAGAGATCTGTAGGGAAACTAATAGAATTTCACACTAATAAAAACTTTGAAGCATAGTTAAGCAGTCTATCACTCCCTATATATTTTTCATCTTATTTCCAATAAAAATTCCAAAACTATCAAAAGCCATTAAGCATATTTTAGTGTCACACATCAGGAGGACCTGAAAGCTATGACTAAATAGCTTTTTCAATTAAAAGCACCCAGAAATATTCACTAATGAGACAAAGTTTGAATTTGGCTACTTTTATATTTTTAGATGGTTAAAGTAGTTTTTTTCCAAGATTTTATATGATTTAAAAGTGATTCTCATCATGAACATACATCAGCTTAAAAATTAGGACGATACAACTTTCCTTTTCTTTCTGGTTAACAATAACTATCTAGTTATGATTAGTCGGTGCTAAAATTTCTTCAAGTATGCTTGTCTGTCATTATGATTAGTATTATTGTGGCAGTCAATTATATGGACGACCTTGAATTACCTGTTAATCAGTGGGAAAACATCGTTTGGTTATGGAATGACTTATAATTTACAAAAAGTATTAAAATTATGATTGATAAACGATTTTAACATGAACAATGGATCTTTGTTTATAGTTTTCATCACGTATTGATATTAGCTATTATACAAGAGTGTTCTGTAGTCATTTAGATGGATAAGCTTCGCCCCAAAAATGTAATTGGTTTGTCCACAAACTTCGTTACAATTATCATTAACACACTATTTAATGAAACAACAATTTCTGAATGGCCTATCGGTGGATTTTAAAAAAGTTCAATTTCTAATATTTATATATTCTCATCTAACATATTGATCCTCACTCTAAAAGTATCCATTATCCGACACTTCATTCATAGGTGACATGTTATGATCGTTTCAAAAACTAGGTGTTGTTATTCATCTCATTTTATGTCAACAATATAAATAAATTGTTCAACATATCTACTCCTTAAATATCATCCCCAGATACACTTTAATTATTTTAAAAAACGATAAAATTAATGGGAATTAGTGGGATAATTTCTTTTTTTCCAAGATAATGTTAAATAGTTGTTCAATAGTCTAAAGCGCTCATTTTTAATCAGTCGTGTAAAAAAGTAGGCAAAGATTCATGGATGAAAAAACACTCCAAAAAAGCATCAAACTGTTGAAAGAATTTTCAGACGACCATCAGAATAAGAATAAATGTACAGACAGTTCAAGTCGTTAACTAACATCGGTTAGAGAATAAATTTAAACCAGGAATCGCTGTACGATTTAGTCCTAGCTTTAAGTTAGCCAATAGTACACACTAGAGACGCTGTAAGAGGTTGAGACCTGGGATTACTGTTCTTACGATGATGGTGTTACTTTGGACAAGTGAGCCAGATTGCACTAGTCCATCTCCTCAATTTTAGTTTAACGTGTAACGTAGCACAATCCACTTCTGCGGTGGGCACTACTGAGGAGTTTTAGACAAGAAATGAATTACGGATCTAACAATCCTCAATTTGTAATAATTTTTAAGTTGGAATCAAATAAGGATGAAAGGAGAGAAGCTTTCTGCATAGAGCATGCGTAAATGTTGAGCGCGAACAGTTAGATACATTTTTAGTATTCTCATAAATTACTGTTATTACTAGATTTATATTCATTCGAAAATTGCAGTGTCTTGTAAGTTTAAGGTGAAATCCGAGTTGCGTCATTCTTATACGTTTCTCATAAGATTTAATATACATCTTGCTAGTGAATGCTCAGTGACATCGAATCTTGACTCACAAGTTCTCACCGAGTACCTCTAACCGCCTGATAAAAATTATTTTACTTGAAATCAGTTCTCAGATAAAAAGATAACTTTGAAATGATAAAACTAGCTACTGTTGTCTGGTGTTTAAGGGGTCAGTGTATACTACGATCGACAGAAATTAGAGTACCACATGAAGAGCGAGTTAAGTCGTGAAATTAATTCATGTTAGAGATTTAAAGATTTACTGAGGGTTTTTGAAAATGATGTTTACTGTGTAATGTCGATTAAGAATTGTGATTATTTTCTAAATGATTGTTGCTACTTATATACTATTGAGTAGTATTTAGAATTAAATATGATTTTGGGCAGAATAGGTACTATCGAGTTGCTCTGACTTTGTACAGATTGTTTGACTCAAAATTAGTTTTCGTTACTAACCCGTATTAGATCAAAAAACTGTTGAGGATTATGAACCCCTTCCTCTTTTAGTTTACTCTGGTTTTCAGTGATTTTCTAGGTGACGTAATTCCACTGTCCAACCTAATTTGCTAACCCATTCCTCAAAATATTCTACCTTAATCATCCACCAGTAACATTCTAAAGAACGAAATTAAAGTCAAAAGTAATTTCAAAGAATATCGCTATTTGAGAGAGTTGATGAAGCTTATTTATGTGACTACAATAACAGATAATCAGAGTGATGAAATAATGTAATGAATAAACGTTTCACAAAATTACTAATCTAAACTTGAACTATACTATCATTTTGATTAGGTCAATTAAAAACATTACAAGGATTTATCAATTCCAGGTTTGTTAATTCTCATATAACTGTAGCATGCCATTCCTTTCGTAAAATTTGAAAGAAAACTTGACTTGCCTATACCGTGATTATTGAAAATAACTATTAATAAGAAATCGATACGTGTTCGGTGAAGGAATCTGTAGGTTTCATAGAGCTCCTACTAGTTGAATAGTAAAGTAATATTATATAAAAGCAGATTACGATAATTCAAGCTATCAATACATGGAAGACTGTAAATTGTTTCAATGAAAATATCGAGAAAGATTGGTGATATTTCATTCCCTCCTATAGGATATTACGACTCTTGAAGTTGTACTTTACGTTAAATAAACTTGTATCATGTACCATAAAATTACAGTAAGGTTATACTACTCAAAGTGTAAAGTAATGGTTTTGTTGTTTTAAACATTCGGTTTAGAACCATTAGCTTTTAGGATCAACCCTGCTCGGCTTACTTTGGATTAGCCAGCTCTGAATTATCACTTCCCATGGCAGATAAAGTATGTTACTTAAAGTCATGTACTTGAACTTATATTTGGGCAATAAACTTCATTCGTTTTATGTTACCTAAGAATATGGTTGTAAATGGTATAAACTGATAGTGGATACTTCTTATTTATCTATAATATAATACCAAATCACGATTAAAAGTATACTTTGCAAGAGGGTAATTTTACATTACTTTCATGATAAACAGGGGGAATTCAACCTTTGTACAACCTGAACAGCATAGCAAAATACTATAGTATAACCTTACAAGTACCAGGAACCCTGTTGGACCATACTTATACCGCATGGAATGCGTGTAAGAATAATGCTGATAACCACAGTAGAATGAACACTTATTTCCACCCGATTCATGAAAAGCACTTAAAGGGTATGCAAAATTCAAAGGTCTTTTGAGAAACACAAATATTTATTTAGAATCGTTTAAGCTATGTATTAAAGGCCACCATATTAACCAAATAACGTCTAATTTACCTCCTAAATATTCAATTTTCTTTTGTCCCAAATAGCTCAGTTGTTCGTTTACTTGATCAAAACAGAAAAGTACCTCTTCTGGTCTATTTTAAAAACAATTAAAAAACGAAAGAATATTTTAAAGATTAAGAAATACATAATGAGCACTGCTGAGGAGTCCCACAATGGGACGAAACGGCCGTCTAGTGCCTCCAGGTTTTCCATGGTGGTCTAGCTTCAATTGACTCATGATCTCAATTATCGAAATTACTGCAATCTCCAAAAAACCCCTTCTGATAATAATATATATCTAACTTATAATCATTTATTACCGTTAACACACTCAACAATTAATTGGAATATTACACGTTTCGACTGATTACATAACTAACTAATTGGTAATTCGATTAGAATAGTTCAGGTAACTTTCAAACGTCTTACTTGATTTCCCATTATTTCAACTCTAAAATTAATAACCTTCATATTCTCATATTTTTACTGAAATAATGTGTGTTAAAGTCCAGCATACGGTGGTAGCTTATTTTATGAAAACTTCATGAATCACAGTTGATTAATGAACAAGTATAAATCAATTAAGAATGGTTTAGTTTCAATTATGATCTACTTATTTGACCGAAATTAATGGCTATCGAATACCACTTCTTCTGATCTCTAACGTTTACCAACAAATTTGAACTATTAAGTCAATAAATAACTAATTCTTAGATCTTGACTATGGCTACCTCACTTTCGAACCTAGACAAATTAAGTTCAGAAAGTCAGATCAGTTAGGCCTATTGAACATACATATAATCATATTTCTTGAATAAGATATTTTTTAACAGATAATTTCAACTAATCGTGCTCAGACAGAATAACTTCTACGCTCACAAGATTTGTGAGTAAAATTAAATAAAAATCTAGATTCTGAGTTCCAAACTGTCGGTTTGATTTTCATCTTGAATTATAATGCCTAAAGTAAGCAATAAAATTTGTGATACATTGTTTGTTCAAGAAACACAGTAGTTCGACAATCTCTCTATTTAAAGTGATAGTCCAAAATTTGAGATGCTAGATTAAGTATTTTAATTAAGTAAATAAGATTTATTTTTCAAAATGTTTACTTCCATATATGATAAATTCTTTTGAAACTACCTTGTAGAAAGAAAATGTGTATTTAAAGGGGCTGGTTACCAAAAGTTATGTTTACTCTTCACTATGTGTTAATCCATGTCAAATACCAGATTATAAGAATTGAGAACTATAAATTTTAATGCAAACAAGGAGGATGTGCAGGAAGGTTTATATGTTCATCTTTAACTTCGTATACAATCCAACTAATTGGCCGACAATATAATAATCCACTAATGGTATAAGATCTGCGAATGAGTTTTTAAAATTTTCAACAATTTTTAAGCTGATTAGCAAAATAAATACGTAGACCGGTACATGCCTCCCACCATACATAATCATTTACACATGAATCAAGATAAATATAGAAATAGAGGCGAGTGATTACGGATTAAAAATAACACTATCTGGCATACAAATTGATTCAGACTTTGAATCAGTTTGTATATATGTACATATGTACAAGACTGTATGAAAATATAGCGTTTCGGTGATTAAAGGAAATGCTAAGTACAACTTGAGACGTCTCTCTAATTTTTTGTCTATTTCTTTATACTGGATAGTTCAGTTGAAGCTACTGGATTATCCCTGCTGTTCATAATATTAAAACTGTTCGAATAAAAAAAAATAAGTTAGCTTGTTTAGCGAAAATAAGTCATTGCGACTATCAATGTGATTGATTGTCTTTAAGCTCTTAATTATGAGTAAAATATACATTTCATTGATTGTTCCACCTGCTTGGATTCTGGTAGAACAATTATGTATTTAATCTTTTATTAATTATGCCAACTACTTATTAAATAACAATCTAGCTTATCGTTTCCAGGATGCTCTAAGAATGAACGTTTGTAACAGTGTTTAATGCTTGATACTTTTTCCAGGAAGTCCGAACTTCATCTATGCTTCGTGTTTGCTAACAATAATAAGGTAGATCATTAAAAATTGCAATCTTTTTATGTTCTTAGAGAATTAAGGTCAAGTGATTCAGGTGCTTGTTTAAAATATTTGCCACTGAACTACTCAGATAACACCGATCGGGGTTGAAAAATTAAAACTCAGTAACCAAATGCAGATTAATGTGCTAGACTTTGAACGACACTTTTTCGTGCAAGTTAATGATATTACTGGTTGCCTAAATCAAAGTGGAACATGCAGATTTGATCCTGCAATCCAGTATTTACAAATCAAGTGCTTCAAAAAATAGACCATCACAAATACGAGGTATTTGTAAGTAATTAGTTGCAAACAATTGCCGTAGATTGACCGTCAAGAGAATACTACGTCACTGAAAAAATTAATTACCAAAAGTTTCTACTAAGCTATTACTGATTTGTAAGTGTTTGAATTTTCTTGTCGTTGATGTTAAAAACTGAATTTTGATCAATCTCCTTTTGGCGCATGCTGAAAGGATTGCCTCAATGCTACCACAAGGTCATTACTATTTAATTAAAGATGGACAGCCTTATATCTCCAGATTAATTGTTTTAACACGTTCTTTAATTCACTCAGTCAGTCAGCTGCAACGTAGGACCAGACACATATATGTATCGGTCCAAGTCGCCACACCTCATTAGCATAACAAGATGAACACCAAATTCATAAAAGTAGCTACTTTAATGGTAGTAATATATAAAAGATTGTGTATATGGATATGATACAGAAAGAAAGACCTGTGACAATCGAACATATGCATATTCAAAGCATTGTTTGGATATTAAGTAACCACTGAGTGGACGGTTATGAATTAAGGCAGTCAGCCTTCATTGATAGAGGTGGGTGGGAAATATATTACGAATTCCCGAGTGATAATTCCAATCTGTTGTTGGTTTTTTCTAACAAATGGCTCTACATCTGTTTTAGTTGCGTAGATGAATTCATTCCATATCTTCGTCTGTATTCTACTTTTTAGTACTTAACTAAATTGGTCATTTCAGATTGTATTTTCCACATATTTTCTCACCCCTTTGATTTTCTTCCCAATAGTTGTCGCTGACTGTAACGACGTGAAGTGAAACCACTCGGATAGACGAGAATTAGTGCAATGACCTATGATGTCAAGAAGTTCATATATACGCGTTTTTCTCAAAATAAAAAGTATAACCATCGATGCTATTTTTAATTAAGTATTCCAGTCAACAACAAAAAAACTTTAAAATTACTATTATTAATATAATTAACCTTCCAAAATCCTTCAGTGCATTAGCATATCGACAAGCTACTTCACATTGGGCAATTAATGGGTACAGGGACCCTGCACATTGGTCAATTAGCTTCATTTCATTCCCAATTTCTTTGTCAATTTGATTGGTTAGTTTATTAGCTATTTGATCAATTTCGTTTTTCAATTGTTCAGCTCTATTTTGAATTTGATTAGTTATGTTCAATTCTGTTTCAGCAAGTTCATGACCGTATTTAATTAGATGACGTAAATAATCCTGTTATGTGAACAAGAAATCACAAATAGGAAAAGATAGTTAGTTTCTTCTTATAAATACATATTATGATCTTATGACATGTAGTCAAGTTAATTAACCACCCTGAAGAAGTTTCTCAATACTGTCATTTAGTGCACTGGAACAAAATTTACTACTTGAATGTACTGATTTCATCCTTGTTGTACTGTTTATTTTAAGATAAGACGGAACAAAACTGGAAGTGTTCATAGCTATCTGTACCTATTCTGTTCAGTGTAATTATTTTACAAAGCGCAAGTTTATTTGTGAAGATTAGTGGTATTACATGCTTGATTAAGCCAAAGTAGGTGGAGAGGAACTCGATTCATCAATCTATTGATTGACATCTAAAAGTTTAGACCACCTAACCATTAATTCATGCACTCCCGCTGTTTAGATATCGTGATTTAACAACTTTATAAATAAAACTGTGATATTTAGAGTTATAAGAATATTAAAAACAATTTAGATACTTCTGGAAGACCAGTCCAATATAAGAAAAAAATCAGCTTTCAACTACATAGCTAACTGGTACTAACTGTTATTAATTAATTCATATACAAGACTGCTACACCGGTCACCTTAGGGCCAACTGTACTACACAGATGCTGAAATCGGGTTTAGTTGGGTAGACTTTATATCTTGTCCTAAATTACAAATCATGTACATGGATGATTAGACCACATGTTCTCCGTTAAAATAAACATTTCAGTATTACTTGGGTCGAATGATCATTATTGCATATACATATACACAACTCCAGTAAAACTATGTAGTTTGATAAAAGTACTGTAAAGAAGAGTTTATAGATCTTCATTCTGGTGGAATTTTAGTTCAAAACCTTTAAATTATTTATTGTAAAGCTTTTAATAAACTTTTGAAAAACTGTTGTTTATTAAAAACTTCACAAATATTTTGTATGATTTCACATAAGGCCTATTTCATCTTAACTATGTGATTAAATTCAAGTTCAATTACATTTTTTAAAACTAAATTTCACTACACAACAACAGTGAAGAGAAATGTTATAACATCTACCTTGGTAATCATGACACATTTATGGATTTATATAATTTACTTATCATTTGTCAAAAACTCCTACGCACTTAATTTTGTTATCTGAATAATTTTTTTCATATATTATTAAGATTAAAAATTACTCAGTAATATTAAGTCAGACTTGAGATCCGTTGATGGTCTCTTTAATATTACGTATATACTCTGTTAACAAATATTAATAACTAAACAAACACAATTAGAAATAAGTAGATTAAATAGACTTCCCTCATTCCTACAGTTGAACATATGGAACTCAAAACAACTGTCAACCAATATCAAAGTGAAAATCTTCAATACGAACGTCAGGACAGTGCTACTGTACAGGGCTGAAATTCGGAGAACGACTACAACCATCATCAAAAAAGTACAAATATTTAAAAACAGTTGCCTACGAATGATACTAATGTCCGTTGACCGGATACCATCAGCAACAGTCTACTATGGGAGAAAACAAACCGGCTTCCATCTGAAGAAGAAATTAGGAAAAGACGATGGAAGTGGATAGGTCATACATTACGGAAATCACCAAAGTGAATCACGAGGCAATCGCTAACTTGGAATTCTGGAGGGAAACGGAAAAGAGGAAGGCCGAAGAACACATGGAGTTGGGAATTGAGAGCAGACATGAAAATGATAAATAGCAACTGGAAATGATTGCCCAGGACAGGGTTGGATGGGGAGTGCTGGTGGGCAGCCTATGCTCCTCCATGAGAGGTGACAGGCGCAAGTAAGTAAGTAAATAGACTTTCCAACTAACTAACCAAGTTCTGTAAATATTTTACTACACTTAAAGAGTGTACAGACAAAGCATTTCATTTACTTCTTTTAAGCTTATTTACATTCTATTAAAGGTTTCTTTTTGTTAAAAAAAACCGTTCCTTTTTTCCAATCCAACTATATAATCTGTACTTTCATCTCACCTTTTGCCATAAACATGATTATAAATAATATCTAAAATATCTTTGAAAACTGTTTGCATGATCCAAAACTATATCTATTTTAAAAATAGAACAATCTAATCAATAATATGTGTTTATTATGAACATTGGGTTATCATTTTGATAATTACTTACAACAATAATAATTTGTAAGTCCGCCTGTAGCTCTTCTAGAGTTACTACCGGTCCCAGGCCCGGGTAAAGGGGGAGGGTTGGGCATGGGGGTAGCGTCCCCATCCCGTAGAAAACTAACTCGCTAAAAAACGCTCACCAGAAAAAATAATTCAAACCATTTTAACTCTGCCCTGGGAGTTAGAAGATCTACATTTAGAAGAATTATGACGCTTCATGGTGAAAGCCGAGTTCTTTCGGAAGCCACGAGGCCGATGACCCTTCTAACAACCAGAGCAAAAAATTTTATAGGTACATGGAACGTCCAAACAATGTGGGAGACTGGGAAGACCAGTCAAATAGCAACGGAAATGAGGAGATAAAACTTAGCAGTACTGGGAATCAGCGAAACCCATTGGACCAAAGGTGGAAAACAAAGACTAAATACGGGAGAGATGTTGCTATACTCTGGTCACGAAGAGGAAAACGCTACACACACTCAGGGAGTTGCTTTAATGCTGTCCAAAGTAGCATGAAATGCACTTGTAGGATGGGAATCTCACGGATCCAGAATCATCAAAGCATCATTCAAAACTAAGGAGGAGGGGATCATAATGAATATTATCCAATGTTATGCACCCACCAAAGATAGCAACGACGACATTAAAGATCAATTGTACGAGCGGCTGCAGTCAATCATTGAGAAATGCCCAAGAAAGGACCTCACCATTCTAATGGGAGATCTAAATGCCAAAGTCGGAATAGACAACACCGGATATGAAGATATTATGGGACGACATGGATTGACTGGGAGAGAGAAACGAAAATGGAGAAAGATTTGTAAATCTATGTGCATTCAACAAATTGGTCATAGGAGGCACAATATTTCCACACAAGCGTATACACAAGGCTACATGGATCTCACCGGACCACACTACAGAGAACCAGATACATCATATTTGCATCAACAAAAAATTCCGAAGGACAATGGAAGATGTGAGAACCAGGAGAGGAGCTGACATAGCTTCAGATCACCACCTAGTTGTGGCCAATTTAAAAGAAAAACTGGACAACTGGACAAACAGCAATACAAAGGTTCAATACGGCTTTCCTTCGAAATACTGACAAACTCAATGAATTCAAGATAGCTCTCAACAACAGGTTCCAGGCCTTACAAGATCTACTGAAGGAAGAAGAAACTACTATGGAGGACAACTGGAAAGGCATCAAGGAAGCATTAACTTCAACGTGTCAAGAAGTTCTGGGCCTAAAGAAACACCATCATAAGGAGTGGATCTCTATAGAAACTCTGATCAAGATCAAAGAAAGGAAGAACAAGAAGGCAGCAATTAACAACAACCGAACACGAGCAGAGAAAGTCCAAGGACAATCTGAGTACATAGAAGCACACAAACAAGTGAAGAAGAGCATTAGAGCCGCCAAGCAGGAATACGTGGAAGACCTAACAACGACTGCGGAAAAAGCTGCAAGATAGGGAAATATGAAACAGCTTTACGATACAACGAAGAAACTTGTAGGGAAATACAGTAAACCAGAGAGACCAGTCAAAGACAAAGAAGGCAAGCCAATCACTGAAATTCAACAACAACGGAACAGATGGGTAGAATACTTCGAGGATCTTCTGAATAGGCCGGCTTTAAACGAATCCACCAGACATCAAAGCAGCACACACCGATCTTCCTATAGATGTCAATCCACCAATTACGGAGGAAATTAGAATGGCCGTCAGACAAATCAAGAACGGGAAAGCAGCAGGACCCGACAACATACCAGCTGAAGCACTGAAATCAGACATCGAAACAACCACAAGCATGCTTTATCTTCTATTCAAAAAGATTTGGGAGGAGGAACAAGTGCCAATGGACTGGAAAGAAGGACACCTCGTCAAGATTCCAAAGAAAGGAGATCTGAGCAAATGTGAGAACTACAGAGGCATTACACTACTGTCAATACCAGGGAAAGTCTTCAACAGAGTGTTGCTGAACCGGATGAAGGATGCAGTAGATGCCCAACTTCGAGATCAACAAGCTGGATTCCGAAAGGATCGGTCGTGCACAGACCAAATTGCAACACTAGGGATCATCGTCGAACAATCAGTTGAGTGGAACTCATCACTATACATCAACTTCATTAATTATGAAAAGGCATTTGACAGTGTGGATAGGAGAACGTTATGGAAACTTCTTCGACACTACGGAGTTCCTGAGAAGATTGTCAATATTATCCGGAACTCATATGACGGACTACAATCCAAAGTATTGCATGGAGGACTGCTGACAGATGCATTCAAAGTAAGGACCGGAGTCAGACAAGGCTGTTTACTCTCTCCCTCCCTCTTTCTTCTGGTGGTCGACTGGATTATGAAGACCTTAACACGGAATACAATGGACTGCTCAGAATCAATTAGACGATTTGGACTTCGCAGATAATCTAGCCCTCCTATCACGTACACACGAACAGATGCAGATAAAGACAGCCAGTGTAGCAGCAGTCTCTGCATCAGTAGGCCTCAGCATACACAAAGGGAAAACTAAGGTCCTCAAATTCAAAGCGGAGAACCGCAATCCAATCACTCTTGATGGCGAAACTCTGGAAGATGTAGAATCCTTCACATATCTGGGAAGCATCATCGATGAACAAGGAGGATCCGATGCAGACGTAAAGGCGAGGATCGGCAAAGCAAGGACAGCATTCCTACAATTGAAGAACATATGGAACTCAAAACAACTTTCAACCAATATCAAAGTGAGAATCTTCAATACGAACGTCAAGGCAGTTCTACTGTATCGAGCTGAAACTTGGAGAACTACAACAACCTCCATCAAGAAGGTACAAGTATTTATAAATAGCTCTCTACGCAAGATACTCAACATCCATTGGCCGGATACCATCAGCAATAGCCTTCTGTGGGAGAGAACAAACCAGCTTCCAGCTGAAGAGTAAATTAGGAAAAGACGATGGAAATGGATAGGACATACATTACTCAAATCATCAAACTGCATCACGAGGCAAGCCCTAACTTGGAATTGTGAAGGGAAGCGGAAAAGAGGAAGGCCAAAGAACACATTACATCGGGAAATCGAAGCTGAATGAAAAGGATGAATTACAACTGGAAGGAGCTGGAAAGGATAGCCCAGGATAGGGTTGGATGGATAGTTGTGGTGAGCGGCCTATGCTCCTTCACGAGGAGTAACAGGCGTAAGTAAGTCAGTAAGTAAGTAATAATTTGTAATACCTTCTAATGTCTATCATACTGTATACAACTACAACAGGAAAAGGTTTGTTTTACACTGTAGTTACTCAGCATGAAGAATAATGTTTACTGTATGTAAACTAGTACAATGCAACCTGATTAAGTCTACAACCAATAGGAAGCAGTGATAAAATTTCACATTACTTAATTTAACGTATTATACAATTTTTGGTCAATTTAAATTTTAACAAAAATCAAAATATTATTTAAATGAGTTAACGAAACAGTTAATTCAGCCAAATGAAATGAATGAATATGTATTTCTTCCCATCAGAATCGACTAAACAAAGATGGGTGGTGACTAACAGTGGAATCTAGGATGTGCATTTCATCCTATTCGGGACTCGTAAGTTGTATGTAACTGCAAGTGTCGGATTTTTTATGACGAATACCATTTTATTACTTACTGAAACAATCAATAAGATTACGACAGCTCACTATGCCTCTAACATTTTGCAAACTATTAAAAGATACAAGCTTATTAAATTGAGATAACTCGATTGTCATCTCAACTGTCGGTTTCACGTTCTATATTCTTTCTGATTAGAATAGTTCCATATTTATATCTCGTACTATGATGATTTTCAACATGTGTTAATAATGCTAAGGAAGGATATGAATTTATTCAAGGCTCTATATATAATTGAGTTATCAATACAAAAACGAATAAAAATTGTGCATAAAGATCTACTTATCACTCTTCTTTGACCAATCACCAAGTAAAAACTATTACTTTTAATTGAATTATTGAAAAAAACGACTTACTTCGAATTGTGAATTGCTCCGTTTAACTCGATCAATTTGCTTATTAATTTCAAGTTTAGCATCATGAACAGCCTTTTCCAATGATAATACAACATGATTTTCATGTTCTTTACCTTTAGATGACATTGAGAAATGTCCGCTACATTCAGCGCATAAAAGTTTATTACATGGTTTACAGTAAAAACAAGCTGATGGTGATGGCCAATTACAGCGGTGACCAATAATAGTTTTACCCTTATTACTATTAAAATCAACAGTAGTAGAACTAGTTCTGACTGTGTTATCTGATACTTTCTGACTATTACCTATAGTCTTCTCATTTGAATTAATTGTGTTAAGCTCAGAGAATTCATGATCGGTACATTGGGTAGGTGGAGCCTCTCTCATGCGTAGCAAATATCCGTTTACTAAAATATCCTATAAACAAGAAGGAAATTACTGAGTACTGTTAAGAAAAAAATAATAAAAGCATGTACTATATCAAAAGTTCAGTAATCTTAATGCATCATTCACTCGAAAATTACATATACTTCATCAGTGTATTCAATTATATCAAATTATGAAATCTTGAAACAGATTCCTACAAAGGACCTGATAAATAATCCTCTGGAGGATTTAATACCAGTTCAGATTATTTGTATTAAATGAATGAATTAGTATAAAAATTAACAGAAGGGGTCTTGTGGAGATCTTAGAAATTTTACTGATTGAAATCGTGAGTAAAATGAAGCTAGACCGCTATGGAAAACCTGAAAGCACTGGATGACCGTTTCGTCCTAGCATGGGACTCCTCAGCAATGCGCATCTACGATCCCGCACCCCGTGAGATTCGAACCCAGGACCTATCACTCTCGCGCCAGGTGATTAACCAACTAGACCACTGAGCCAGCATCCAACGGTGTTAATGTCTAAGTTCAACCAATCCACGAAGTTGCGCCACCGTACATCATTGTTTTCAGTTATTTGATGTCTCACAACAGACCTGGTTGAATTCCACTAGTAACGGATTCTCATTAGAACTCCAGGAGAATCTCTTGAAATCAGTCACTAGTGAGCAGATGATTATTATCAGAAGGCGTTTTGTGGAGATTTTAGAAATATCACTGATTGAAATTAATGTATTCACAGCTAAATTAGTCAATTTGTAGGCTTCATTGACTTTAATCTTTATACATGGTCGTTATGTATACATAAATGTAATGATATAACTGTTTTCAGATTAAATCAACTTTGTAAAACTTATCATTATATATATATAATGATAAGTTGAAAACTGAATGAATTTATTTCAATATTGAAAAGTATGCTAGTCATTTTTATTCAACTATGAAAATTGTTTTACTGTTTGCTTAATTAGTAAACGATTCATTGACTTCTTATATGAATAAATGGTATTATTTTTTTAAAATTTAGCTTAAAATTATAATCAGTACTGTTTTCTAGGCAATAAAAAAATATGTAGTCAGTAGATTGAATAATATTACCATTTTTACACTAAGCTAACGAGCTTTATCATAAGTTTGGCGGCTGTTTTTTTCTTTTTATTTAAGAACAAACTTTCTAGAATTTTCTGGAATTCAATTTTATCTTTTAATTAAAATAGATGGAAACTTCTGTAATCTTGTCAAATTAATCAAAATGCAAATATTTATTTATCTTGAATAATAAGAGAATTAAACTTTTGATCAAGGTTTATTAGGCCTGGACATTGAATACCACCTGAATGTGGCAGATTGATTCAGGTCATTTAGTTCATATCTCCCAACAACAAAACAAATCCTTAATAGGAATGACGATAAGTAATTTATGAATGAATGTTTAGTAGCTTTTTTAGTGCAATAATTAACTTATGAATCTCTTGAGCGTTCTCAGTCTTTTATTGAATGTTTTCGTGCGACACATCTCTAGATAAGATGATTATCATATTACTTAATAATAAAGTCAATAGTTTAGTACTGTTAGTCAAGGAATTCAATCCATGAGCTAACTTTGATCGTGACCGACCATTATTCTCGATAAAGAAAAGTACTCACTAGCCGATTTTCTTCTCTGATACCCACAGAAAACCAAAAACAACTTTTAATTCATCCTGTATAATATGCCTAATCTGGATTAAGTACATACACACATCTTCGGATTCAAACTCATATCTTAAACATGTTAACCATGAAGAATAGAATATTAGGTCTCTTCTAATTTCAGATGTATCTAAGTCACACAAAAAATCTTACTAGTGACTTCAACAGATTTCATCAAACTTATAATCAATCATTTAGTTCAATACATGAATAAATAAAATCGATTACTGTTTTTGTCTACTACTCGCTCACTACTGTTTTTTCTTAAAAAATAACTTAATGTTTGATCTAAAATACTGTTTATAATCTTTCTATTAAATGTGTAATTTATGCTAAGATTTTAAATACTACTATTGATTTTGTTTTGTGGCATCAAATATATGTTATCGAAATTGTTGAGAAATGTAATTAACATATAAATTGAATGATCAATCATTTTGTTTTCAACAAAAGTATAAATAAATATCAAATTTCAATAGTTGAGATCATGAGTCAATTAAAACTAGACTACCATGAAAAACCTGGAAGCACTGAACGTCCGTTTCGTCCTAGTATGGGACTCCTCAACAATGTGTAACCACGATCCCGTCTTGTGAGATTCGAACCTAGGACCTATCGGTGCTTCCAGGTTTTCCATGGTGGTTTAGCTTCAATAGACTCATGATCTCAACTATTAAAATTATTATAATATCTATAAAAATCCCTTCTGATAAATATCAAATTGTTGACGATTTTGAATGGATATAATTCAATGAAATTCCATTGATATTTATCGTGTCTTAATATATTACTGACTAATAAATTAAATGGTTAATTTCATGGGTCGATCTAAGCTAGGTTAACCGTTTGCGTACAAGACCGAAGGTTCTAGCTTCGAGTTCCGCGTGTGGGATTGTGGATGCACACAGCTGAGGAGTCCCATAATAGAACGAAACGGACGTTCAGTGCTTCCAGGTTCTCCATGGTGATCTAACTTACATCGACTCATGAATTCAACCATTAGATTACTACAATCTCCACAAATCCCCACTCTGATAATAATACTTTATAAATGGTTAAATACTAACCAGCATAACGAACTAATAAATTTCAAACCTATTTCAACAGCAAATCCAATGTTAATTTCAGTCTAGTCTTTGGATAATGTTCCTGATTTTCACTTAATTAGTTAAAGGGATAAGCGACTAAAGTATTTAGATAAAAAGTAAGAAGACGTAACAGTAAAACTGATGTCTTAACAAAGGTAATACGGTTCAATTTAGTTCACTTTCTGATAAAGAAAACGTGAGGAACTTAAAAAAATTAGAAAGGACACTGAAGTAAATTAGACAGAATTAAGTTAAATGTAAAATGAACAGATCGTACGTAACCATTATTTTGAAAATGTGAATATATCAACGCCATCCTGGTAGATTTTAAGATGTATGTCCAAGATTTATAATTCCCAATGGTAAACAAAGTTACTGTTCAAGAAACTTGATCTCTTCATAAATTTAAACAGACCATGAAAAACTAAGTTTTTAAAGTGAAATGAGTTTATTTGATTTCCTGGATTTGAATCAACTGCAAATGACCTAAACTTACAATAAGGAAAACAACTATAGACTAAGATTTAGCATAATTTAGTTAATAAAGTTAAGTTGAATGTTCGAAACGAAACCGAAAATCATAATATGAAGAAAAGAAGTACATATATTATGTTTTATGTTCATTTTATGATTTTGATTGCATTTCACTTATCCATCTCGACTTCCCTAACTAAAGTGTGTGTAAAGCTTGGTTTATAGTTAGATTACTGTTTGTAAATTTGGGTTGATTGTAGTTGATGCGAAGTTATGAAATTGAATGAATTTATTTTGTTCTACAAACCTTATTGTAATTGTTCTGTTTAAACTCATTTTCAATCCCCATTGACGGTAAATTTTAGTATGAATGATTACTGTGTATTACTTCCAAATAACCTTAGTGTTTAATATTGATAATACAACTTATTCGATAGATAATCGCTCAAAAGTCAGGCACATCGAAACTGTTTGGTGGAAGAAGTCAAATGTAACCTTGTAGTCAAGAGAAGCAGTCGAATTAGTTTATTATTAAAGATGTTTCTGCTCTAAAACTTAATGAAAGATGGAAGTCTTGTCAATGAAACCTTGTTTATACCCCAAATCTATTCAGGATTTTCGTTCTCATAATTCACTTAGGAGTCGACTGACTATGAACTGTAGGATTAATGATATTACTGCTAGTTAGGTTAATCTCTTTGTAGTGCCTATAAAATGATATTACGTTCCTTCTTATTAACTGAAATGACCAAAATCAGCCTGGTACTCCTGCCTCTGCATGTAACTGTTTAATCTAATAATTCTTAAATTTTGTCTTTGAATGACTTATCAAGTAAACCATTATGTCATATTCGTTTATTTCACTTCAGGTTTCACACGGCTAGTATTAACTTTGATAATGGTTGAATGATAAAAAATAATAATTTATTAAGACTCAAGTCACGTCGTGAGAAATTAAAAAGTAGCTGTAGACTACTTAATTTGTTTGTTAATTTATTCTATTTGGTGTTTCTATCAGTTTCTAGGGAAATTCATTAATGATTTATCGTCTTTGGTATTGATCTCATTAACTATGACATTTTAGTGTCAGCAACTTTATTGAAACTAAATAAATGGAAGTATGAATTAATTCCAACGCTATATATACTTCTCAAACGTTCTATAGACCTATCTTCAACTTACATTTAAGCTCATTTTGCTCTTAATCATTTATCCATTGAAATATGCAGTGTAACTCATTGTTATTAATTCAAATAAATTTGTAGTAATAATGTTATTCTAACATAAATACAGTAGAATTTTGAGATTTAATAGTTGATCAATCGTTAGGTTTCCTTCTACAATCTATGTGTATTGTTTGATAACAGTATTCTCAAGATAATCGGTATACACACAGATTATGTAGGTTTCCAAGCAGTATACTTCTTTAGGTAATACTAATGCTCATGTAACTCATGTAACTTGGCTTTAACAAATTAAAAGAAATCCTTAATCATTTTTCTCAGAGAATAAAATGAGAGTTGAACCTCTGTTATGGAAAATAATCCCGTTATACTCCACTTAGTAAATACAGTATAATATTTCAAAATGTATTTCTTGAATTTTTACTGCTAACCTTTATCTGATAAACTTAACCTATGACAAACATAAAACTGTCTTATGTGACCTAGTTAAATATATTCTTTTTAGAAACAAGCAGGTGTAATATTTCCTGTTTATGAACTGAATCAACTGATTTCCATTTCCCATTCAAGAAAAATTTACTATATCCCAGTTTTAAATTCTAACTAAATCCTTAATTCACAACACGTCATTGTAACGCCTATAATCACTAAAAAAATTTTATCTTTGACTTTTGAGTTAAGCTTTTATCTAATTCCCTTGTTTATTGGTGCTGATAACTAAATAAGCCTTCACTATGATTACATTCTATTCTCAGGATAGTTCCATACGACTTCAATGAGTTTACCGTCAGCCATAAAACACATAAACAATTAATTTAAATTGACCAGCCAGTTACATTATTAAAAGATAATCTTCTGTACAATGTATAATGCAGACTGATTTTATTTGTTAAATAATAGTCTTCAAAATACTCAAATACACCAATATGGGATCTCAATATGACATACATTCTCTTTGAATAAAAATAATAGTCATGGAAAAAAGACGGTTATCGACGCTTTTTGATTTCATGTAATTAAGGTTATGGGACTTAAATATAGGCTAACTCTTCAAAACTTTGTAAACACGATGTTTCAAATGCATTCAGGTATAGCATTTAAAAGACTTAGTGACATGCTGAATATTCAACGGTTTATAAATATCTGATATGTCAAAAACAATTCGAACAGGAAATGGTTTACTTGAGCCAAAATTCAGACAATGATATGTTGATATTTTTAATCATCTTGGCAACATATCGTTTAGCCTGACGCGATCTCGTAACTGTTAAAATCTAAAAAGCTTGTTGAAATGTATATGATGTGATATTTCAACTAAGAAATAAGTTAAACACAGTATACTTAAATATGCTGATAAAATGTGTAGTCCTAAACACAACAGGAAGACGCGTAATTTGCTTGGTTGGCTTTTTTTAAACAAAAATCTTGGCCTAATCTTGAAATTGATCTGGCCGATTAGTATAGTTAGCTTATGTGACTATCAGTATATGATTTTGGTTAGTGATTTCTGCTGCTTTTTCAAAAGTAGATTTCAATCATTTTTGTTGAAATAATTTCATGGTAGAAGCGGGACAAATATACACGAAATTGACGAAAGTAAGAACCTTGAGTGGTAATTTAAATGACCTTGAACTTTTTAGATCACACATAAGCTAAAGAACATGCATATTAAATCAGAAAACTTTCACTATAAGAATTAATGAAAACTTATTTCATAAAGCTGTAGATGATTTGTAAGTTTTCCAAGGTTTACAACTGGATTATCTATCTTAAAGTCAGATGATTTCCAGATTCTGTAGCTCATCTTTGTGCAGATCAGTTTCTTTGGTGATCCTTTGCATAACTATAGTTAATTTTATAAGCTATTTCACTTAATCCTTACAATATTTGTGACACTCATAGCCATTATGAGGCAATGTTCTAAAGAGCAGACATATGTTGAAGCAACTATTCACAGTTTAACTGTTTGTGTGATTCTCTTTGAATAAACAGAAAAAGAACCAATAATTTTTATTTTAAATCTTGCATACAACTGGCCTCGGAACATCTACATAATTTACATGTTTTGCACTTCCGTTACATCACTTCTATCCTAATAATAGAACAGACTATTTGTTGCCGAGCCGAAGAGTCACATGCACTATATAGATGTATTTTCTACAGTGCCACGAACAAGATTAATAATAAGTTTTAGATAAACAGCATTTTTTTTAAAACTATTTAAATGCGTACTACGATAAGATGGTGTGAATTTTAGTTCATATGGCTTTCGGACATATTTAAATGACTTGACGACATGCCGAATATCCAGCTACCTGCAAAAAACGATAAGGCAAAGTATTTTATATTATTCGTTTTTATTAAGTTAATGGTGCCTGATAGAATCTTGATAAGATTGTTTCGTGTGTCTTAATGATCATATTCAAAATTTATGCTACTATAAAAATCATATATTATTAGTGCGATTATACAGCTTGATGATAAATTGTACTGCAGATTGACTTTGGCTAAACAATCATTGGAAATCAGAGAATACTAATTTTTTGAAAAGCTCTAAACTTGGAGTATATTTAAGTTTTTATTCAGCTAACATCACCGATCTATAACTATAAGGGGATGAAGATTCAATCTCGTCTTGCCTTAAGACTCATCTAGACGCCTTATATATTAGATGCCAGATATTTCTTAGTAATAAGGATTAATCTATGGGATAGTGGTCACTAGCCAGTAGTTTGTTAATATAATTTATAGAATCTTGTAGGGAATTAGTTCAAACTCTAATAACTTATAGGTAACGTTCATGGTTACCTTTCCCACTAGGATACATTGAAATTTATGACCATACATTGATTTCTCGGACGTTTCAGACACTTTTCCCTACAGAGTCCCATCAACTAAGTTATAAAAACCTTCATACACATGAATACATACTTAAATAATAGGTGATATCACGTCTTTATAGGGTGTTATTCATGCATGTTGAACCTTTCTTTAACTAAGATTCCCTGATATCCTTAGTTTGAACTCACAGTAAAACGAATTCATGACATTAGTCACAAGCAAATTCAACTAAAATATATATAAAAGATAAACATAACCACTTTTTTGACTGATCTTAAGTAATGAGTTGGAAGTTTACTAGAAAAATTTCCTTTCCCTAACTAGCTAAATACGACTCTGACTTTGACACTGAACGATACGGATACGTATCATAAGAGGAACACCATTTCCATCAATAAATGTATATACTACTCTCTTTGTAAGTACCAACTAGCGTTAAACATAGGTCAAGTAAGTCTTCCTCTTAACTAACTCCAACCGTCTATTAATCAATGATAGCACTAAAATTATTAAAAGAATCATCATATAAGCTATGAATATATTTGGCAGGATTATTCATCTTTATGAATCTAGGGCTTTTAACGATGCTAACCATTTGTATTATATATTTAAAGTGTGATTTCCCTTCGCCTGTTTTTGATTTATTCATTCTTCTAAAGTTGTTCAGATGTTATGCATACAGTGATTTGGTTTTACCGATCGTTTCCAGATATTTTTACATGAATTAAACAGACAGTTTATATCTGTATATCGTTACTTGTCCCTGATCGTTCAGTAATGGAATTGCAATGAACGAAAACTCTGGTGAGGACAACTAATCTATCACCCAACGCAAAATTAAGGTTCTTTAGTAAAATAAGAAAACCATACACTTAATACTTTATTTGCAAATCTTCCATCAATTACCCTTTACATCCTTCATGATTCTTCCATTTCTCAATTCCTTTATGTTCCCCTTTCTGTTTTCTTCAGCGCAATTTCCCAATCTTTTGACACATATTCAACTTGTAATTGGTGTTACTTGCTACTTATGTCGACGGACACCAAAAACTAATAACTATCTTTTGATTAGCTAGTTGATATTAATATAAAGTTTCCGGGGGGTGTGATTTAGTTAAATGATCTTTCAGAACTCAATCACTTAAGAGCTATGCTCAGTAACATGAACTATGCTGTTCAGTTACATAAATCGTTATAAGTTGAGTGAAACTCAGATTTGTAACCTACTGGTTGAATGTAGAGTACTTGTGTCACTGAGCTAAAACTCTACCTACAATGAATACCAAAATGATGTAAAACTACAAACGTACCTCATATGAAAGCAGAGTGTGAAGTCGTGTTATTCTAGTACGTTTATGAGCTTGTGCACATGGTTCACATAGATTATCACCACATTCAATACATCTGAACAAAAAGAAATACAGAACCTTTAAATAAATTGTTTACAATAACACACAACATCGTAATGCATCAGAAATTCAATGTTCTACTCTGTTGTGTTCGATTAAATTAATTTTCTGTGGAAAACTAAGGTGTTTTTTGCCTGAATATAGTTTGAAAGTACCCCACTATCACTTATAAGTAACTCTCACGTTTTATATTCGGTAAGCACAAATTTAATTCAGAACAGAAAATTAATTTACGATTAGGTAAAGTTTTATATCATGACAACGAGTAAATCAATCGGTTAGTGATTACAAGTCACGGGTTTGAAACCCGTTCCCCCTACTTCAATTTTAGCATCCAGGTATTATGCCTTTCACTTATCAAATTATGGATTAAAACCCAGCGTATGAACCCGTATGTATTTTATTACTGAGGTGAATATAGCAGCAGGTACATTAAAGTAGAAATCTGATACACAAAATCAGTGAATCTATGAAATCAATAAATTGATGGAGTAACTAATAAAATGATGAATAATACCTATTATCTAGCTTTCTAATTGTTTGATTACATGCCCGATGAACATCTGACTAGTCATGTGGCTAATTAATAATACATGAAACACCCGAAGTGATTGCTTTACTTTATGGAGAAACTGACTGAGTAGTGTTTTGCTCCCACTATCATCTTTGAACAAAGAACCACAAAATGCACCCACTTATTAAGAGTAATCGGTTGAATAAACCGTCTGAATTCGTTTGAAATTGCATAGTTTAACAATAACGCGTCTGAATTCATATCCTTCTGTTGATTACTTTCAAAGATTTAACAAAAAATAGACATTAGATTTCCGAATCGTTTAGTTAGATAGACACATAGCCATGTTGTGATTACTAGGTCAATATGCAGTATTGAACTCATGTACACTACTTAGGTTATCAGCAATATATAAGTACATAAATTTCGTTTGTTTATGAATAATTGTAGCTTTTTTAGGTTCAGTCAAACGGAGTAGTACATCACTTTAATGTTATGTTCATTAACCTAAATAACTAGACAAGTATTGGCCCACACACATAGAATACATAGTAGCAAATATAGCAAATATATAACTGACGATCCTAATTGAGCATTTGTTTTATGGAGTTTACTCACTGTCACCTGGTTCATAGTGGTTCTTCAAATGATTCTAGTTATTTATTTATTTAATAAAAGTAGTTTCCAACCCTTAAAAAAAATTATTAACATTTATTTACTTATAAACATCTCTTGAATTTATTTCTAGTTGTAATCTAACATAATTAAATTAATTTGCTTTGAAATTTGACGTAAGGATAACTTAATGTAAGTGAATAAGTTAACTATCTCAAATGCTTACTTTCCCTTCACATAGCCTATTTTATTATCGAAGCGTTTATTGCTCATATTGACTTTTTTCCAGCCTTTGAAGTGAATACTTATACAGACAGTAAAAAATAACCATATTAACGAAGTCTCAATATATACAAACATATCTGAAGTGGGATAGACACAAATCGTTTGCCATCTGCTCCGATAATATTCAACTGTTGAGAATTTAATTTCATCTCTAATCGATGAGTTTTTGTAGTTTGCTTTTTTCAAAAAAACTGATTTCAGACAAACAGCTTAACAAACATTAATTCATCGTGATCACAAATAAATACACTAATATTTATTGGTTAAAAATATTTTCAGAATGGGGTTTGTGGAGATTGTAGTAGTTTTAATAGTTGAATTCATGAGTCGATGTAAGGTAGACCACCATAGAAAACCTGGAAGCATTGGACGGCCGTTTCATCCCTAGTATGGGATCGATGGAAGTTAGACGTTAATACCATTGTATGCCCTCTCAGTCGTTGATAGGTTAAGCGTTTGCTCACAAGACAGAAGGTCCTGGGTTAAAATCCTGCGTGCGAGATCTTTAACGCGCACTGCTGAGGAGTCCTATTCTAGGACGAAAAGACCGTATAGCGCTTCCAGGTTTTCAGTGGTGGTCTAGCTTACATCGACTCATGAATTCAATTATCAAAAATATTTTCATCAGGCATGTTCTGTATAAATTTGAAAATAATTTAACGTTGAACGAAATCACAGTTCATAAGATTCCGGTCAAAATATGACTGCTGCCTGTCTAAGTCATACGACTGTACTGGGATTACCTTATCTTAATCCCAATTCAAGTGAATCTCAATGTTGTTTAGCTAAGTGATCAATGAAGATCATCTTTATCACTAAATGACTTTGATCAGATATCAATGTTGGAAATGGAACAGTTATTCGATGATTAAAATAGTTAGTGACCATCTAATATCGTAAATAATGTTAGATGACATTTTTAGAGTCCGATTCAGAGAGAATTGAAACAAACCAAAATTGAGTAATCTGTATTAGCATTTAAATGTGTACCTAGCTAGATTTTGTCTCTGATTACATTTCTTTTTTTGTCTATGACTTCAACTGAAATCCCAGATTTTTGTTTCTTTAAACTTATGACTTGTCAACATTCTACTGAGACACCAAATTAAGAATAAGTATTTCAAATGCTAGAATGATACCCCGAAGATATTGAGTAACAATAGTTGTTATCATGTTGAACACAAATAATGTGTTCTTAAGAATTATACTTGACCTTCTCTAATTCATAGGAATGGCCTTTGAAGATATTTTTGTTTTGATTATGAGTTAAAAAATCATTTGAACAACTATAAAAGAAATTTCAAGAAGTAATAAAAAGCTTTTTAGTCCTAGTCTGGGATCGTTCGTCAGCGTCATTATCTATGACTGTACTAGAGTTTGTACTTTGGACCATCAAATCTAAATGCAGTAAACATGATGACTATAAACTATTGCGTGAAACCTCAGATTACAGTCAGTTCGAGATACAGGACTCAGTCTCATCGAATCTCATAGGTTATTTACTATGTTTACTCGAATTTCTGATGGTATGCAATGACAAACTTTTAAACTACCTATTAATTAAACCATTTTCCATCTCATATATTTAATGGATGTATTCCGTTTATGTAAAAGATGCTCTAACAAAATCCCAATTATAGTTATATTATAATCATAGATTTCTAGACTGTTTTATGTGCTAAACGTTAAAATCAAAACATTGTACGTATTTACTATTGGCCTGAGGTACATAGGGATATTTGGGATAACGGTTTATAGTGAGAAAAATGTAATGTAAAATTAGTTATTAAGATTATAAGCCGTTTCAGTAGCTCATATAAATCGAACATTGTATTATTATTATTGTCATTATAGGGTTGTGGAGATTGCTGAGTTTCAACTGAGATTAATTACCGATCAATGAAAACTTGGAAGCACTAGACGACTGTTTCGTCCCAGTATAGGGCTCCTCAGCAGTTCATATTCTCGATGCTTATGACGTCGTTCAGAAGAACTCTGAGAGCTTCACAACCAAACCATCCAACTAAGAGAATAAAACTCCACCAAAATCATCCACCTGAGCTACAAATCTCTATCAACTCCTAATTAATACAAAATGCTCATTCGAAAGCTCTTAACTTGGATCCTATATTGTAACTGCAGTCAATTTTCTATATATGGTTATAAATATAACTTGACTTGAGATATACAATAAACATGAAGTAGCTAATTAAGTAAAGATGGATAGTGACTAGTAGTGGAATCCATGATGCGCGTTTCGTCCTGACGAGTCACAAACAGGACGAAATGTGGTTTTTGTATTCCATTGCTAGACACTATCCATCTCTGTTTTGTTTGTTTTTTTTGAAAATACAGTTAAACTAGTTAAAAATTTATAATTCTATGAACGTATTGTAATTTTATTGTAGTCTGATAAGTAATCTTAATCAAACATTCACTTAAGACAGATTTTCTCAATATTATGTACAACTTTATTTGGTTATGTGAAAAAAGGATGATGTTTTCATTAATAGCCAATCACATGAAAGGTCAAATGAATAAACAAAGTTTATTTCTCCGGTAGCTTAATCATATAAACAACCAATAAGAATTGAAATGATAGTTGAAATTTAACTGTTTTATTTATGAATCATCAATTTCAGACGAGTCACAATTACATAGGTCACATGAATAATCTACATAACTATGCTCGTAAATACTTTTTTTTTCCGAATGCTGGCTGTTATGATAAAAGTGAAAAAAATTGAAAATTTTTCTCTATTCATTTGTTAGTTGTTGTTTTTTTGTTTTGTTTTTAGCAAAATCTGATTATATCGAGGCCTACCTAAGGAACCGATATTTTAGTATGGAAAATCATAAATCCACCAAGAAAAATGTTGTAACATTACAACTTTATAAGGCACATTGATCAATATATTCACTAAATGTCAATCTAGTGTTCCACAGTAATTCTGTATTCAGTTTCAGACGATAACTGAGAATTCGATATTGTACCAAAATATAATATTGAATAAAGCTATTAATAATAATAATAATAATAATAATAATAATAATAATAATGAAAGATTGAGCTATTTCACTTTATAAGGCGATAGATACTGCACATTTGACACCCAAGAGAAATCATAGCAGTATAATAATGATTTATTTAGTGATTAGTATCCAATATTGTTTATAATTCTGAGTCATTTGATTTTTCCGGGTTACAATTTATCTTCAGCTATTTACGAGATTATAATGAAACTGACTTATTTAGAATTCTCAATAGACACATTGAATTTCTTTATTTTTTTATGCTAATTATTTATTCTGTACTTCGGGCACTTCTATTCACTTTATTGATAAAATAGTTACATATATCTTATAGATTATTCAGTATTTGATAACTGTTTCTATGTTATAATAGTGATTACTATTCTAATAAGTTTTATATATTGTTGAAAAAAATGTTCATCTTTAGTCAGTTAGGTCATCGAACATCTGTTCATTAGGAGAAAATTATATTATTCGGCATTATCTCTAGTATATTTCAATGCTCAGTGTTTGGAAGAAATCAATAAAAAGCCATAGACCCAAGTTTTATTTTAGTTAGCACTCATGAACTTGGGATATCTACAACTGAAATCATCAGTTAAATAATAATAAGATACTTTCTACTCAATAAATTCCACGAACATAAATTTTGAAGAAATTCTGATGAGAAAGCATGTCTTATGAGCGAAAATTAAATGCTAATGATCAGAAGATGAAATAAAAATTGTTGATTGTAGCTTATGCCCCCCCCTACACTTGTCTAACTCACTTGTAAAATTTTCACTGAATAACCGAATGGCTTTTGCTTCAATTAGATGAAAGTTCTAAATACGATTAAACCAATTTGTATTTACAATGAAATATATCTTTAAGTTTATTAAACGTCAACTGAGTTAGTTTTAGTTTATTTTACTTTATTTTACAAGTCTATCGTTAAACAGTCAAAAACTTTCCATTTGTTCCCTCTAAACTATTTATCAGAATTTTCAGGTACAGCAGAAACTATAGTAACTCTCAAAATTCATACATTAGTTTTCCCTACCAAAATTGATTTTAATAGAAATAAAATCTTAAAACAGAATCGCATTTGTTTTCTTGTAACGTATTCGGACAGAAGAGAAATACCAAAAATACCAAATAAACTCTGTCAGTTGTCTTTTTCTTCTAGAAGATTCTGTTGTAGATGATAATTTTTGTTATCCATTCAAACGTAAACATACGTTAAGTACTAATTACATTTATTTCTATTGTTATTCAAAATATTTTTTTAAAGATTAAACTTTTTCTGCGGTATCAATCTTAACAGTAATAGGTTGATTTAGTGATTTTACATCTGGATCAAAGTATTTACACTATCAAATATGTTACTTAAAATTTGATAATGATCACGTGCTCATAATAGTTGTTTATTTGGCATACAATCAGATTGGAACTGGAGTTTGGAATGATATACATTCTCCACGACTGGTGGTTATATACATTTCATGTTCATTTAATAATCTTTCCAAGGTTAATAGGATTACAGTTATCTGATATGATGAAATCTTTTTTTGCATTTGTTATTGATAGCAATCAAGTTAACCCACAAAACAACGGGGATAGATTGGTGTTTTTAAAAAAAGAAGATCTGATCATTAGAAATTGAATATGTAATTTCAATAGTTCAACTATTCATTGATTTCAAGAAGTTTAAATCTTATTGTACATTAAATTTAACCATTGATTTCATCTAGATCATCTTTCAAAAAGACAAAAACAAATCAATCGTTAAAACGGATTTGAATACTGTCCAATTTGTTTTTATATCAATAAAGTGATGGATCATTTGTAATCTGTGTGAAATATTATTTTTATGAAGATTTAAGATTAAATATAAAATAACTTGGATAATTCGAAATATAATCAATTTATCTAGATGTCGAAGAAACCATAAATGACAGCTTGAAATTGAATAGCCATATGTTAATTGAATAAGGACTGTGCGTTTGTTTTTTTAACAGTGATTTAAGTCATATTCTGTGGTAATGGCTAGTTTACATGGAACAACAACTAATCAATGAAAATAATTTACAGACACCACAGTATCATATTTAAAAAAAACATTAGATACTTACTTAAGAAAAAGCAAAATGTCATAGTCATATACACAAAAGACTTATGATACTTAGAATAAACAAACCGCTTATTTGAACTAAAAATAAGAACACTTCAGTATCATTCTCTTAACAAGACAAAACATGAACCCATTTAATTCTTGAAATATAGACCAATTTAACTTGTATATATATTCTGACCTCTTAAATGACTCAATCAACCACTCAGATAGAGAAGTATTTTCTCATTTAGTTTTCCATCATGGCTCTACACTAATATATATATATATATATACAATAATGAAATAATACTCATCGAGTGGATACGTTACGTAATGATTACATAATGACATTTCGATAAAAAATTAACATTGTGTAATTGGAAGAAAGAGGATTAATAACAATCAAAGTAATTGTTCGAAAATCAAGAAGTTGCTACGTTGCATAATATATGAAAAAGAGAAGGAACAGAACATTTTGATAAATGGTCAGTAGAATAGTAGTTATGTAATAATCGAGAGATAAATGTTCAGAATAAGTAAAATACAAAGCTCAAAAGACAAAAACAAAATGGAAGAAGTACGAAAATATTTTATCAACGTTCTTCTACAAACGCCCCTATACCGATGGCCGAGGTAGCGAAATCGGTTGTACAAACTTCTTTTGGATGAAAAGGTTAGGTTTGTGGACATGGATTGCGATAGCTTCAGCAATGTGCTAAAGACGCACTCGTAAACCATGTGGCAAATTTGATGGAATATGGTAGATAACCTTAAAAGCTTTATTCATTTCAACTTGATGACCTGTGTCAACCAAGTGAGCGAGAATAGAATTCTTAATCACTCTTACCTGTCCTTTGCTCAACAATGACAGATGGTGCTCTGTTATACGATGAAGAACTTGACAAATTGTACGCCCTATATAACTGGCTCCACAGGAGCAGTTGAATAGATAAATACACATGGATATGGCGAATTCAGGCAATCTGTCTTTATTAGCAGTTCTTATTGTGGGGTGTTTGTAGAAGATAGCACATAGCCTGGTTGCATTAAATGTTTTTGTACCGCTTTTCTTAATCTCTGAGTCACAATTTCTTCAGTAGTGTCATTTAGGAATTGTAATTTTAAGAACAATACTTTCTTAGGAACGGTAGGTATCTTTGTCCTTCTTTTCATTTCCTTCATGTGTTTGTCGATGAATTTCATTGGGTACCCATTCTTACTAAGTGAGTTATGAATATTAACCAATTCATCTACAATAGTGTCATCCAAACAAATCTCCTAGCACGATGAGTCAGGATCATTATCGAGTTATTCAGGCGATTCAATGTTAAGGTAATTAAACAGATAGAAAATGAAAAATAAAAGATTGGTGGGTAACAGGTTTAACTAGCTCAGTAAACAGTTATAATAATAATAATAATAATAATAATAATAATAATATCGTAAGACTTTTAAGCCTGGTGACAGAAATAATGGCTGTTTGTCACGTCGAACTCAAAAAACAAGTTTTAATACAATTATCTAATCAGCTGATTTTCGTTGAACAGCAGATATTTTCAGCAAATCATCCAGAATATAAAAATTCTTCAAACGTTTTACAACAAATTTTCGGAATGATTTTACGATGAACTGACTTGTGAGCATACTTACCTATGATCATTTATATGCTATCCGATAAGTTATTCAATATCATCCTGACTAAATATTTCGTACATAAATGACAGCTTTAATTTCCTATTGTAATCACTCATTTATTCGGTGGTAATGTCCTACGGAATCTATTCACTTGAATTCTGTAAACATCATATAAATACTAGTAAAAATTTGTTATTTGGTTAGTAGCACTCTATAAAATGTATCAGACCTAGGCCCAGGGAGGGTTGACGTCATCAAAATATTATATTTGAGGTACTGAAAGAACTGATTTCCCCCCTTAGATATTCGAGTTTACCTCGATCAGTACCAGGGTCAGGGAGGTTACTACTTGATTTTGAAAATGGTAGTAATAATAATAAAGAATATAAGGTATTGCTGATTAAATCTTAAACACAAGTAAATAACTTAAAGTACCTGAATTGAGCTTCTGAATTTTGATTTTCAAACATACAATAATCACATTTACGTATTGTATCTTTTTGTAATAAATTTGCTAAATCTCGAAGTTTTTCAATAAATATTGCATTTGGAAATTGTAATTCATCCACTGTAATTGTTTCCTCCTTTTCTAATACACGGTTTGAGTCAGTAGTTGAGCTAATGCCAGGTTGAACTGTCGAATATTTCTCATCGTTATAGTTATTTTTTAGTGTTTCATTAATAAAACTATTATTATTATGAGGATTATATTGTTCTTGTAATTTCAAACCAGCCATATGACAAGCTTTACATTTTATTGGTGAATTATCCTGACTCTTTGAATGGTTATGTAACGAAATAGCACAACTTTGACAGACTGTATGTAAACACGGAAGAAGCTGTAAGTAGTAAAAAAAGAGGAAAACTAAATTATAAAGGGATAATTTATTATTCCTCAAAGTCATCTAGCTATCTTAAAAGTCATATTTGGGAAGTGAGAATATCTAATAATAATAATAATAATAATAATAATAATAATAATAATAATAATAATAATATCTAGTAATAATGATAATAATCAGAGCATAGAAATTTTATTATGGTTGCTCTTATCACCCAGAATGTTTAGATTAACTTTGTTCAGTGAGTCGATTTATTCAAGCTACAGGAAAGTGATTCATTTTTTATTGATTGTTTGAACCTTCACATAGATGTTTAGGACTGCTATTGATTAGTCTCTTATCAGCATATGAGCATCTAGTAATAACTAACATTATATTTCCATTAATTCACAAGTCTTGTAAGCGGAGATGGATGATGGCTAACAGTGTGATGCAGGACGTGAGTTTCGTCCTATTTAGGACTCATAAGCCTGATGTACACTAAGCAACTCGAACCCAGTGCCGTTCGCTTCAGACGCCATCACGTTATTCATTCAGCTACTGAGTCCATATACCCATTACATGAAAGTGAGCCATGCGAAAATTACTTATATATATGGTGAAAAAAAGTGATCTTTGTGAATAATAAAAATACCTATTATGAGAATCAAAAAACAACAGAAGTAAGCGAACAATAGCGTTCTTAACTAAATCTTTAGGCTGTAATCTGTTTAACTTGTGGGAATAATTGTTTCAAAAAAGTGTCTACTGAAGATGCTTATTGTCCGTTGGCCGGATGTTATTAGCAACAACCTGCTGTGGGAGAGAACAGACCAACTTCCAACTTAATATGAAATTAGGAAATGGTGTTAGAAGTGGATAGGAAATACATCATAGAAATCATCAAACTGCATCACAAAGCAAGCTCCAACTTGGAATTCTGGGTGGAAACAGAAAAGTGGAAGATCAAGGAACACACTGTGAGGAGAATCGGAAACACACATGATCAGCAACTGGAAGCAACTGGAAAGGAATGCCCAGGTGAGAGATGGATAAAGAATGCTGGTGTGCGGCCTATGCTCTTCCACAAGGGGTAACGGGTGTAAGTAAGTATGTATGTAAATAAATAAATAATATTTATTTGTAAATATGAAAATTATTAGTGATAAAGCCAGTTTAGGAGCCAGTTATAATAGTATAAAAGGACTACATAGCTAGTCATAATGAGTAAAATGTACGACTGCTAGTAAAATGACAAATATATTAGTAAACATAAGAATATTAAATAGTATGATTATGTGAACAAAAAAACAAATTAACAGCCAGAAATTTTATCCAATCATTTAGCAAGCATCATCCCTTGTAATTTGGAAAGGGTCTGGCACAATTAATACGGAACCCTATTCCATTATGTTTGATCGATGATGACCAGGTAGTAAATAGAACCGAAACATCCAAAAGGGTTTTTCGTATGCCACCACTTTTTTCCAAGTGGGGTTCACTTTCGTCTCCTATATTTAGCAGAGGCTATAGGAACTCGAGTTGTCAACTTTCGTCTCTGTATTTTGAAAAAAACATTGAAATACTACTTTTTTGTCTTTGATCTAATAAAACTTAGTAGACTACTTTACTAATTATTCAATATCTTAGCCACATAAACATTTAAAGTGATTATTTACACGTTATATGGTATGATTTTCATAATTAGTGCTGTTTTAATAAGTTCCTAATTCAAGTTCTAACCTAGGTCCCATGTTTAATTATTCATTCAAGATGTTTCTATTATTTTTATCACAACAAATACACTTATCATCTTACTAGTAATTTGTACTGTTTGCTTTTTATTGCTTAGATTTAATTATTCAGTCTTTTTATTTTTCATTACCATTAACTTAATAAACTACCTTGATTTATCTAATATTTCTCATATATATACCCTTTTTTAAAAATATATTAGTCTGACGAATATCTCATTCACAACAATATTGTTTCAGCAGTTTAAAAATCCCCATAGAATATTCAAGAATGAAGAATATTTGAGTGAACAACTGTTTTCAATAACTTCATCATCAGGCTCTTCAGTTATAAGTCCATAATCATAATATTTTACAAAGGCCACTGGATCACCGAATACCTAGAATAAATATTATAAACCTCTTACCCCCTTCCTTTATTTCATTTATTTACCTTATTATCATTATTTTTGATTATCTCTATCTTAATCTTCACATTCATCATTCCTAATTCGTTGATCGTAATTACCTTGATAACACCCCCGTTACTACATATTATATTCACACAACAATCTTATTATTATTATTATCTCAATTGACAATTTTCTTGCATTTTCATACTATTATACTTATGGTGACTGAACACTTTACTCCTAATCATCCTGACCTTTGTTGAATGACCTTTCTAATTTGTCAAATAATACAGTTTTGAAGTATATATATATCGTAACAGATGCAAACATCCACTATTTTTAACACATAACATTGTCAAATTCATTAATACATGCCTTAATTTTGGCCCTTGTAAAATATTATAAATATGGACTTATAACTGTAGAGCCTGATGATGAAGTTATTGAAAACAATTATTCGCTCAAATATTCTTCATTTTTGAATATTGTTTCACTTAACATAGTTTATTTTCATTTTCTAAATTTTAATTTGATTGTTAAAAAGATATTTTTAAAGGTTTAAGATGTTTTCTACATATTGTTAACATGTAATTTGTTAAATACTTAATGATAATATATTCTTGTGAATACATTCTTAATTAAGAAACTAACATAGAACATTTTGGCTGGTTGTTTGAAAAAAAATTATTGATTCAGTGTATTGTTATTTAGTTGATCGGCAGTTACAATTTATGCATGGAATACTTGCCAATTGATATGAAGTTTGTTGTTTTATTCATGTGTTATATTTGTATATATAATACTGAACTTATTGTATTTTGTAATAGTCTAATGTTGAATATTATATCAGTGAATTCATGTATTTGCATAAATATAAGCTTATTCAAATTTTTATCTAGGTAGTTAATAATCAGTTATTTTCATGATCTTCATTATTGAATAAAATGATCTTGAAATGGTTATAAGCTTTAGCGTACTTTAAATATATTTTTATTTCAACAATTAATTATAATCAGTCAGTTAGCCACAACGTAGGACCAGGCACATATATGCATCGGTCCAGGTTGCCATACCTCATTAACACAACAAGATGGACACCGGATTCGTAAAAGTAGTTAATTCAGAGGTGGTAATATATAAAAGAAAGATTGCAATAAGGATATAGTACAGGAAGAAAGAATTAGTTCGTAGAAAGAAAAGTATAAGGTGATTTTAATCTCACGGTTTAAGGGAAGATAGTGTATACATCTACTCCATTATGATATATTCTGACCTATGTCACCCAAAGTCTCCAACCATTGGTTACGATAGTCACATGGACCTCATCATAATCATTATAAACTGTCCAACAGAATATTTCTCTGTAAATATTTCTATCATATTAATGTGAGGATATATAAAAAGATTATTATCATTATTACATCGTTCGGTTTGATTTTCAAGGTTAATCCTTTTAAAAACTAAACCTAATATTTTTGATATCTTTATCCTGACAGAAAGTAGTTTAATTAAGAATCAATATTTTCACGCTAGATGTTGAGGAAATATTAGATATTTGCTAGTTTAAAAGAATAGGTTTGATGAGGCTAAAACTAGGCTTTATGTTAATTCCTTTAAAAGTTAACCCAGATTTTGGAATCAAAAAATTATAATTTTTTCATATCTTTCCAATATGGTACAAAGGGAAAAAATTCCATTCTGTCTATTATAAATATTAAAAAGCAACACTAAAGTTTTACCGATATTCTGGATCAAAAAGTGAATTCATCTCATAAGTAATTTTGCTACCATGCCAACAACAACATAATTAATGTCAACAGATTAATAGTTCATACTTTGAATTAAGCGGATTTTGCAACGTTTTACTAAACAATATCTACATCTCTTCCCTTAGATCTACACCTAAATTGAGGAAACCTTGTTAGCATCCATTTACATATTCGGACCTTGATAAGAATCACTACTTACTGTATAGTAATATATTTATTCCTAAGATTTTAATTGGCTATTGTTGATAATTAGTAGTTGGACAAAAAATTATTAACTAGTACATAGATAGATAGATAGATAGATAGATAGATAGATAGATAGATAGATAGATAGATAGATAGATAGATAGATAGATAGATAGATAGATAGATAGATAGATAGATAGATAGATAGATAGATAGATAGATAGATAGATAGATAGATAGATAGATAGATAGATAGATAGATAGATAGATAGATAGATAGATAGATAGATAGATAGATAGATAGATAGATAGATAGATAGATAGATAGATAGATAGATAGATAGATAGATAGATAGATAGATAGATAGATAGATAGATAGATAGATAGATAGATAGATAGATAGATAGATAGATAGATAGATAGATAGATAGATAGATAGATAGATAGATAGATAGATAGATAGATAGATAGATAGATAGATAGATAGATAGATAGATAGATAGATAGATAGATAGATAGATAGATAGATAGATAGATAGATAGATAGATAGATAGATAGATAGATAGATAGATAGATAGATAGATAGATAGATAGATAGATAGATAGATAGATAGATAGATAGATAGATAGATAGATAGATAGATAGATAGATAGATAGATAGATAGATAGATAGATAGATAGATAGATAGATAGATAGATAGATAGATAGATAGATAGATAGATAGATAGATAGATAGATAGATAGATAGATAGATAGATAGATAGATAGATAGATAGATAGATAGATAGATAGATAGATAGATAGATAGATAGATAGATAGACGGGTACTCCTTATAAACTATGCATATCTTCTATGAAAAAGAATCAGACTTTTATTCCATTTCATTTATCTCATTCAGTCTCATTACATGAATTAGTCTGTTCAGTAAATTTGACTTTTAATTTTAATTTTTGATCTATTAACTTAAAGGTATATTTCATTGAGAAACATTTAGATTTGATCCCTTTTAGTGTCATAGTTTAAAACTCGTACATAACCTTGACTCTTATCTTTTAAAACAAAGGTCAATTTATTTTTTGACATTTTTACATAAACAGTCAGACGATATGAGCAAGTAGTGAAAAAAAACACAGGAAAACTTATATTTGATAGGGCAACTGATGTTGTTATTTTGATGATAAGATTATTAACTGTCCTCTGTTGTGTCGAATGACTTTTACTTAATTGTCCTTGTCAATATCATATGAGTCAATTTTTTTCCTAGTATATTCAAGATAAGGCTGTTTTCTACTATTTTAGATGGTGTAACTAGATAATTACAAAACATAGTAAGATCTCGTCTAAAAATATTCTTTTTAAGAAAGGTCACATGAATCATTAAACAATGATGTAGTTCAATGACAAATTATTTATGCACTTGCAAATTGCTGGTCTAGTGGGAGATGTGGGGGCTGTAAAACTTTCACGGTTTTTGTCACAAACTGTTCTTAACTAGACCAACGTTGAAAACCTGGAAATACTAGGTATCCGTTTCTTCATAGCGTCCTTCAACGACTTCGCATCTGGGAATCAAACCCATTACCTTCGGTCTCTGTGAGAGAAACTGCTGTCCATTGCTTCCATGTTTTTAGTAGTGGTCTAGCTAAGAATATTTCATGACTTTTAACTATGAACATTTACAAACCGACTATTTTTTATCCACGCAGTAGATATTAATGTCTTCGAATCAATTATAACAGGTTTCTCGAAGTCATAATTAACCAGATGACATGATTAAATTATGATTACTTATGTAGATGATTTATCAGCTACATGTTACAAACAGATAACATAAAATAACAAATGAAAAACGGTGTAATACATGGTTTTATTTCACTTACAATGGAGAAGGTTTTGAAATGAGATTATGGCTGATCAGTAGAAAACAGAGGATAATGCTTTGTCTTGGATTGGGACAAGTCGATAATGTTAATATTCAACTTTTACGCAGTATTCAATAACTAAACTCAACAATGATTACTCAGTGATCTCAACATACGCCATTGATGTTTCGAAGACGCCTCTGATCGTCTAGTAACCTAAGGATATCCTCCATTTTCAAAGCACACGTTCCACACCCATAAATTATGACAGGATAAACCGTTGTACAGTATACTCGTCTTTAGTTGACAGACGAGCATCTCACTTATGCCACAAGTATGTTAGTTAACAAAAGTTGTGTTGAGATTTCATCAGACAAAGAACCATTAGGATTAATGAAACTTCCGAGAGAAGTGCAGCGTTTAACATAATCAGCTGTTTCACCTTCTATCATTAGTATAGGTAATGACTCTATAGCACTTAATTTTTAATTTTGTCATGAATTAGATGTAATCAGTGTTAGTGAGTTGAAAATCAGGGCAACCATAGTTGTTAAATGCTTTTCAAGATTTATGGTATTGTACGAATAATGTCGAGGAAGAAACTATCTACATTATCGTATTGTTGTACATGACTCATCATTGTTCTGCAACCATCTATTTAGTAATTCACTCTTAATCCCTTTGGTTATGTTAAATGAATAGTAGCTATTAAATTAGTCAACATGACTTTAGATAAATTCACTTGGTATTGTTTACTTGAATCTTCCCATTGTTGTTTAGGACTGCAATTGATCAATCGCTTATTGGTATATGCGCATCCTGTGCGGACTGCCTCGATATTGCCTTAATTCACGAGCATTATACGCAAAGATGGATAGTGGCTAGCAGTGTAATCCAAGACGTACGTTTCGTCCCATTTGGGACTCGTCAGCCGGTCATCAGGATTCAGTAGCGAAGTGGATAACACTATGGAGTTAGAGGCGAAGGTCACTGGGTTCGAGTTCCGGACTAGTCATCATTTTTGGGATGCTTGTTCATCCAGATGACGAAACGCACATCCTGGATTCCATTGCTAGCCACTATCCACCTTTGCTTATAATAACTTTAGATACTTTTTCTCTTTCACTTTTTTTATTACGACATTCCCAACTTTGAAATAGCTTAGTAAAAATTCCAATTTCGATATTCAACAAAATGGCAAATAAAGAGAGATTTCTTTTCAATTATTTCTTATATTGGCTTTATAAATTTTGTTATTCACTTCTAACTTTTATTTGTATTCTTTTAAATCTTGTATACGGAGGTGGTTATCATGTAGTCGGCAAAACTTGTTTTATTTGTTAATAAGTTAATTCATCTAACTAATTGACCTCATCAGTTATGTAAATTAAAAATGTACACACCAAGTGTGCAAAACGTAAATTTAGTATAAGTAAACATCAAGAGATACAACAGACATACTAATTGGATAAATGTCGCAGATGAGAAAACCATGCCGTATTACATATTAATTATATACTTTTATCTATCTTGCTGTTGTCTGATGGTTACAACACTTAGCACTCAGTGACCATATAGAGGGTTAAAACCTTGTTACCGTCATCATTTGGTTCAAGTGGTTGAAGAATATTGCTAAACTTCATACAAACAGCGTAATTACATCAATCTGCATTTTTAAAAAGCTCATTTCATTAAATTTAACTCCTTATCTGCAGTGATTATTGAGTAATATTCATAATATCCACAACCACATACCGGAAATTGTCATGTGCTCACTGGTGACTAACTTCAGCAAGCGATTTGCGGAGTTCTAGTGAGGAGCCGTGACCAGTGGAGCTAATCCGTGTCGAGTGTGAACCAGTTATCTACTAAAGATAATGAAACAGTCATGCAGTGTGGTGGAATGATTGAGGTTAGACATTAACACTATTAGTACTCTAGAAGTTAAGCGTTCGTGCTCGAGACCTGAGGTCTTAGATCTGAGTCTCGCATGCGGGATCGTGCATGGGCTCTGTTGAACAGTCCCATACTTACACAAACGGCAGTCCAGTTCTTCCAGGTTTTCAATGGTGGTTTAACTTGAATCAATTCATCATTTCAGTAACTATTCATATTAATGACAATAACAATCAGTGTGTTCATTTTTTTTAGCTCCTACCATCTTCTTATAAGAGCAGATTTCCTCTAATAACCAACATATTTATTCTTATATGTGATCATAGTCTTCAGCAGTGCATTGAATTCTGAATGAATTCTGAACGAAATAAGAATCAAATATGTTCAACATTGATAAAAGATGTAAATGACTCACCTTTATTACATTATCATTTGCATGACAAAATGAGCAAGACAAAAAGTCGGAATTTAATAAATTCATCAACTGTTCTTGTTTATTACAAGAATTATCGATAACTTTTGTTGATATTAAAGCATGATCTGTAGTATTCAATGTTGATATTGTCGATGACATGGATGCTATTTCAATAGATGGTGTTCGATTAGAATGTTCTGAATAAGAGCAATTTGTCTCTTGATCAGATCCAAGATCGTTTTCATCATTAATTATTACATTCTCCTCAAAATTCAACATTATTATAATAGTAATAATGAATAAAAACACTACAATTAAATTTAAAGTGTGAAATTCAAATATTACACTTATGTCTGATAAACACTATGGTGATTTATATTTACTGTTAAACTTAAAAGGTTTAATCTAATAATCATTCTTTATTGGTTTTTAAAACACTTCAATGTTATCAAGTAACCAGTAATTAACTAAATACATATTAATTTGATTTTTGTTTGAATCAAACATTTATTTGAATGAAAATAAATTTATGCTGGTCACATCCCCCTACCGTCACCTCCATTGAAGAATGATATTTTGATTAGCTAAACAGAAATAAATATGTTATACACAATATAATTAATACCAAAATGCTCATAGATATACAACAATATGGATGTTTAAAGATTGAATGAAAAGTCTCATTATGACTAAAAAATTGTAAGAAATAGAGATAAAAAATAATGACAATAGTAACACTAGTAAATCGGTAAATGATTGTATCTAAGTTTACTTATCTTCTTTTTCCAATTATCTTGCCAATCAATAATTCTTAGATTTGAATGGTTAATTCGCGCCAAATTCTGGGATTTATTTGTTTGCCTATATATGTATATATGTTAGTGTTTCTTTTTCTTTCTTTTGGATCAACCAACATCTGTTATGTAAATAAATGAAAACGGAATGATTATCCATTGTAAATCAGATTTGTAATTTTTGAAAATAAAATATGACAAACGTCGATATTTAACTGAACAATTTTTTTCTCGAGAGATAAGGCATTTATTCATGTTAAATTCAGCTGTGTTTTAAATTTACTTTGATATTTCTATATTTATTTCGGATTAGGATCTTCACTAGTGTTTTGCTAAAGAGTGTTAAAATTTGGTTTAAAAATTCTTTGCTAAAAATTAAAAAATATGATTGTTCAACACGTTATAAACTCTGATTTTAAGTATCTTAAGACATTTCCGACCACGGTCTGCCTTTAGCTGGTGAACCATTAATTAACCAAGAAGCACCGAGCAGCTACCTTCTCCGAAACCGGAACGCTTCAGTAGCACATACCTGTGGTCTACAGGGGAATCACTGAGTTAAAACTCAATGGTTAATAAACTCAGTAAATTCGCTCTGGTTTTAGGGTAATACACTTGCCATAAGCCTTTAAAGTCCTAGGTTAGACCAGTGTTATGGTCTTCGTACAATAGCGTTGATCAGTCCAAAACTATGATGAAACAGCTGTCTAGTACTCGATCTTAAGTTGTTAAAAGGTGTGTGAGTTCGTCATTGTGAGTAAGTAATTCATTCACCTAGCTAAGGCACAGTTCACATATCCCAGTCTTCGTCAGTCCTTTAAACCATGTACACACATGATTCGTCTACATTATCATACGGTTATTGCAATAAAACCTACAGGGTAGTACTTCTTTTTTTCTATAAGAAATGCTGATCAAGTGTTTATAAGTGTGGATCAGTAACTGAAGTTAATGTCAATCTGAAGATTAGGCTGATTTCCACAATATATATTAAATAAAATTTCAAGCACTTTGCAAACAGATTTTTCTACCTGACATCAACTAAGAAAATGTTTTACATAGCGAATTCAATCTATTATTTAGGTCTCCATATGTGAGGATCTCAGTCACCAACTGAATAAAACATACATTCATAAATAATATAGAAGCCAGTTCACAAGTAACCTGATTCTAGCTGCAACATATCTGTAATCAACAAATGGAAGAGCTGACAAGATTCATATGATGCTGCCAATAATGAAGAAAAATTAAAACTAAATTAATTAAATAAATGGAAACATATAAGGTGATGTTTTCAACTTAGACTATTATAACTAAACGTCAATAACCATTAAATTCAGTTTCCGTTTGGATCTAAATCAGTAAAACTTAGTCTTTCTACAGAGTTAACACTAACAGTAAAAGTCCTAAAGGATTGGTGATGTCATAATTTGATTAATTTGTATCTATTTTTTACATATATTAGCTCTTGAGGGATATTATATATTAATGGGAAGGAATGACTAATTTTAGAAAATTTCCAATATACTAGACAGATCAACCAATTCAACCTCTTAACCATGTTATTAAGTCTTAAAAGAAATAATATAACCAGAATCTGAGAATGCTGAAAATATACCTTGAAAATGAGATTTTTATTGCAAGTAAGTAGTGTAGAAAATAATGATTGACCTTTCCTTTTACAGTAGGGGGTTGTAGAAATTGTTGAGATTTTTATTGAGATCATGAACCGATGACTGCTAAATCACCATCGAAAACCTGGAAGTCGTGACCAGTGTAGCTAATCCGTGTCGAGTAGAGACAGGTATCTGCCTCATACAACGAAAGATGGTCGCGCGATTTCGTGGATTGGTTGAACAGTGCTTTCAGGTTTTCAATGGTGGTCTAACATTGATCCCAATAAAAAAACCTTTTTTATTTCTATACTTGCGATTCGAAACAAGTAAGATCTGAGAACACACTCTATTCTATGCTTTAACTGGATGAACAAGGAGTACACAGAAAGGGTACAGATAATATTTCTAGAGTAATTATCACGTTATAAATATTTTAACAAGATAACACTACAGAAGTGTTAGTTTGTAGCAAAATAATATTAATGATGACATTAACTTCATTCATGTATTTATAAGATCTACAGTATGGTTAATATTCTGTTTGTTTACTAAGATTAAGTTCGAAATGGCTTTCTGAATGTTATCATGAAAACAGTGAAGGCAATCAAGCGTGAAATAATACATAAACTCGCTAATGAAATCAAATGAAAATCATAGACAACCTACTGCCTCTATCTACAATACGATTGCCTTTAAAGCTTATCTTTGAAAAAATCCTGTCTCTTTAATTTCTGAGTAAAGTTGTAAATATATCCTTTGCTAATTAAACATGGCTCGGTTACCTGATTCGCTGATAACTGCTTTGTACTTCTTGACTTCTTATTCTTCCCAATCAACTTGTCAAGATACTAAAACTTAAACAAATTTTAAATATTTTATTATTAGGAAACATTGAAAAAATTTCATAGTATGTAAGTTTTATATTTCCGAATCACGAGGTTGCAGCTACGATGTCTAAGTAGACGTCGAAACATTCACTCATCAAAACCAAACTTAACCGAATTATAATATAAAGTTATGTAATCATCTTTGCTAAATAGAGCATATGAAGTAAAAAAAGAAGGAATAAAAACAAAATATGGTCCAAAAAGCTATTAGTATCACAAAAAGTACTATAAACTTACAGATTGGTTTGATAAAAACTTACAACTAGGTATCAATTTACTATAACTCATAATAATAATAAGTGAATAATCTTTGACATACTCGAAGAAATACTATAAAATACAAGAATTTATATAGACTAGCTACAATTTAATAATTTCAAACAGTTTTTATTCGAATCCAATACGAATTTGTGTAAAAACCTTTAAGTGTGACAAAAAGAATAACAGTTTAAAGTCTTATGTTAAAAAAGAAGTATATTATGTTTGTTACACTGGCTTGACTGAAATCAAATGAGTTCTATAAGGAAACTGACGGAGTAGAAATGGAGTCACCACTTGGCTGACTTCTAGCTGACTGTTTTATTGTTGATCTCGAAAACACTATACTTAAACGAACAATTGACATCTGTCTATACACGAGATATTTGAATGACATCTACATTATTTATGACAAAAATATCAATGACAGTCAGAATACGTTTATTAATTGACATCAATCAATTAAGTTCACAACTGAATCAGAGTTAGACTCGGAATTTTACTTCTTAGATGTTTTAGTAAAAAAAGACCTAACGGTTCTCTATAATGATCGATATGTAGAAAGCCAACATGGAATGGTCAATACACGACTGTTCAAAGTCGAGTCACACTGAAGTAAAAGAGAAACATGACCCATCCTCTATGTACGAGGGTTAAATAAATATGTACTGAGGGTACAATCAATATTGAAATTGATGAACTGAGGCAGATATTGATCGACAATGAATATCCACATAGATTCATTGAGAAAAACCTGAACCTGAAACAACCATATGAAAGTGTCTATAACATCGAAGACTCTCTTCATAAATATCCAGTTTAGAGGAGATACTAAGGCAGAAATTCTGAAAAATAGACTTTCGAGATATCTAAACAAAGTTATATTCAGCTGAACTTCGTACTATGTTTTCTAATCGACCTACGATTCGAAGTTGTATGAAGAATAAGCTCCCGATTTGGGTCAAACCAGTTTTTATGTAACACTTTACTTGCTCATATGGGGCAGGTTATATTGGCCGCACAAAACGAGCTCTTTCGGAACGTATCTCTGAACATTACCCTGCCTGGTTTTCCAAAGGTTTACATGAGTCAGCCAAAAGCTCAATCTTGGAGTACCTAGTCAATTTTAGTCGCTCCATTTCACCACTAGCTTGCTTCAAAATCATAGATGCAGTCAGTAGAGTTGACCAAATAGTAATGCAAATGAAAAACGTATGTATAGCAGAGGCTATTGCTATCCACCAGTTCAAGCCTAATCTTTACAAATAAAAGCAGTATGTTCAGCCCCCCATTTTTCCATAGTCTTAACCTCCCTTTCTATCTTTCATTTTTTAATTCTTATATTTTATTATCTCTACTCCTCTCTAATTATTTTCAAAACTATTAACTAGCAAGTATTACAACTTTTAATTATTCTGCTCTAATAGTTCCCAAGTGGACAATTACTTTTACCTTACCACTTTTCAATCACCGATTATTACATAACTACTCTTCAATATCTGATTTTCATACACAATTCATGACAAGATACCACCAGAGTGAACATCAACTCTGAGATGCAGGTACATCCAGCTGACGAGTCCCAACTATGACGAAACGCACGTCCTACATTCCACTGATAGCCACTATCCATCTTTGTTTAATAAGCTTGTGAATTAAGACTATATCAAGGCAATCCGCACAGGATGCACATATACCAATAAGAGACTGGTCAATTGCAGTCCCAAATATCAAAGGGAAGATTCAAGTAAACAACACCAAGTGAATTTAAGCCACCATAAGTTTTAAAAATATTCTATTCGGCTATAGACTACTATTTTAACAAATTAACAAAAAATACGATTGTACAGCTAAAAGTAAATGAAGTCCATAATGTTTAACAACAGTTTTAAAAGTACTGCTAGCCTTGCCCTTACTTAAAATAATGTTTTCATGTATATTATAACCGTTTATTGATTTTTTTTCAACTTATCATATGATCTGTCAGTGTGGGCAGAAT